TCACGCCAATTCCTTAGAGAAATGGTGTAGAATCTTCTGGATGAGCTCATTCAGTTGGTTCTCACTGAACTGAACTGTTTGGCAAGAAGTGAGAGTCTGTGAGGTCAAACTTCTCAAGACCTCACAGACTTTTTGTGTCCTAGCCAACCTGTTCAGTTCAATGTAGACCGATTAAATGAGCTCATCCAGGAGGATCTGCACTAATCCTCTAGCAAATTGGCCCAGCAGATGAGATGCTCTCAAGATACTATCATTGGAATATATTATTGAATGATTTGCTAAAATTGTTCATGAATAATAGGATTAAAACAGATAGAAAAAAACAACAAATTTAGCTGAAAACCCAATATAATAATAAATACTCCATAAATCCAATTGCAAAAAAAAAATGACTAAAGATTATTGAAGCACTTTACAAACCAATTATTAATAAAATATAACCATAATCTTCACATCAAAAACAAATTATCAATAAGGAATTGAGTAACATTTTTTAACAAGTTTTCTTAAGTATATTGTTGACAACAAAAACTTAAGTAATGCATCACAAAAAATTTAGTTTTACATTAAAAAGTGTGTTACCAATTCACAAAGAATGAAAGGCACTGACAAATTCAATTTTATTGGAATAATGAATTAAACAATTGAGATGTTTCCATGAATATCTCAAGGATGCTGTTATGGAGGGATGCGCAGATGGTGTAATGGATAGCAGCTCAGAATGAAAAATCAGAAAGCCTAGTTCGAATTCCACTTGTTACTTTCATTTGTGCAAATACTCTTGAGAAAGAGATGAATCCATCTCTTCTCTCACCAGCTATGGGTTAAATAACAGGACAGATTTAGCCCTATATCCTTAGTTGGCAACCAGTCTAGTGCAAAAATAAATGGCAACCTACTGTGAGATATCTTCTGCCTAGTCATCATAAATTGAAAGAGACATGATTGCCCAAGCATGTATCACATATGGCACTTGCCTTTTTTACATTTAAGGAGTAAACAAAGGATATGCCATCTATATACACACATATATATATATATATATATATATTAATAAATACACATATAGCTACGTTTGATGTGCGACTCAAGTTTTGTTGGTTACCCTACTCATTGGGCACAAGATATAGCTTATTGTTTTTTTTTTTCAGAAAAGTATACAGATGCTCATGGGATGGACGCTGATTCATAGTTCAAAATTAAAATAGCACAAAAATAGTACTAAAGCAATACTGGGGTTTAAGTGCAGGAAATGAGGTGCAGGTATGAGTCAATAATAAAAAAAAGAGAAAAAGTGAAATTGAAGTACGATTAAAAGTTAAGATTTGAATGCTGGACCCTGTTCATAAAAGACATGTATTTGTTAATATATATTTCTTAGCTCTGTCTAATCACATTGAGCACTATTATGTCTACACCTCTTGGATAAATTTGATAATTATTTATTTGCTTACCAGCATATGCATGCCAACATACACGTATATGGTCACTAATATCTAGTTATCTCATTTACCTAACCATATACCTATATATATATATATATATATATATATATGAAGAAATATAGTCTTAAGATGTGCTATATTTATCGGATAAAGTGCTCAATATCAGAGATAGAGTGTGTGTAAATATAAAAGTGAACATAGAAGTCAACACTTAGAGGCAACAGTCTGTTTCATGCTAGATGTAATTTTATATATATATATATATATATATATATATATATAGATAGATAGATAGATAGATAGATAGATATATATATATATATATATATATATATAGATATATGTATGTATGTATGTGTTTTCGTGTGACACATTTCATCTTTTAGGAATGTATCAGATTAAATTGATGCTGACATTAATGCAACTACACAGGCACACAAAGGAAATTAAAATCTGTCTTTGTTTTTTGTTTAAATAAAATAAATAAATGGTTATATGAACACAAAAGTTGTCTTTTACAAAACAACACACTAAATGCATTACTTGCTCACAGTAAGGAGACTGACCACAATTTTGATATAAAAAAATACTAATCAAATTAAAAGTGAAAACAATTTACTGAGATGAAAATGTTCAGAAAGAGCTTTAGTCACTAGATCATCCACAGTAAATTTGCATCCTGGTTCTTACAACATTTCAGCTTTTTTTTACAACATTTTTTTACAACATTTTTTTTACAACATTTCAGCTTTTTTTAGCAGATCTTCTATTATCACGTATTATATTTAATAACAAAAGTGATGGAAACTGTTGGGGCACACCCACCTTCTGACTAAGAATGAACTGATCCCTCTACGATATAGGACAGTGCTAGGGGAGACCAGGGAGAAGATAGAGATCATGAGATCATTACACTTCCATCTCTCTACCGGAAGTTACCGTTGGACTTTAGACTCTTGCTAATTGTTATTACTAACCTGCGTTCATTATTACTAATCACTCTGTTGTTAAATACCTCTTCAAATATACCAGTATTTTTCCCTACATCTGTGTTTTTCTTTATTTGAATACACACACACAGGAACACTTCCAACATCTCAACAGAAACATATACAAAACAAAAAGAATCTGAATTAAATCAAGTTGATTATATCCACAAAGCATATATTAAATAAAAAAATATCATTTAAATTTAAAAATTCTCAGTGTCTGCTTTCCTTTGTGCACATGTGCAATCACCATCGTATCAATATCAATGTTAACATCAATTTAGTGTAATGATGTCTTTCCCATATATACATATATATATCCCGGGTGTAACGACAAAAATGTCCAAACAAATCATTTAACAGCAAAATTGTCCAAATGTCCAAATGTTAGATTAAGCTCTCAGCCATTGTTTCTTAGGAATGATTAAAGATATCTTACTGGAATTCTCTGAGGTTTTTATAACGCTATTGGACTCTACTTTGAGCAATCAGAATGTATAATTACTCTCCAAGCTTAACAGAAGAATCATGATGAAATCGATCACAAATGAAAATGACATGTTCATCATTAATTAATCATGGCTAAGGATGAGAAAAATCATGAAGGATTGAAATAAAATCCAAATATATATATATATATATATATATATATATATATATATATATATAAATAAAGGAAATATATATTCCATATATATTAAAAAAGAAGAGGGGTATATTTTTGGTTGTAATATTGAGAAAAAATATTATACTTTGTTTTACATAATTTCACGACACGTGTTTCTGGTCTGGTCTAGAATCATTTTCCAACTTAATTTTTCTTCATGATGATTCTGTTTGTGTGTTGGCAATCCCTTTCTAGAATTGTCAATGAAGAGTTCTAAAACAATTAAGGTTTGTCCAGCTAACTTTAGTGACCTCCTGTCTTTTTAGAGTAACAAGGCATGCGTGTATATATGCGTGATATTTCCTTATACTAGGAATTCAGAAACTTATTGTACTTATACACTTATTTGTATACACACAAACGCACATTTCCCATAGTCAGTACACACACACATATACACACATATTTTACATGGAACCAGTCTTTTTTCTTAAGTTGTCAACTCCTTTACATAAATGTATGTATGACTGTCATATATATCTCTCTCGTGTCTCCCGCTGAAAGACCTCTCTATTCAGTTCGGGTTTGAAATAAAGTTTTTTTTCGTTTTGTAGATACGATGTCTGTTTGATTATCGAATTGGACCCTTTCTTTTTTAATAATATATATATATATATATATATTATTCTAGAATCATTTTCCAACTTATTCAAAATGATCTTCACCCTCTCTAACCTTCTAACTTCCTGTCTTGGAGTAACAAGGTGCCTCACAAATTTCATGTACAATTTCATTTTCAAGTCTTTTTTCACTGCTCTTTGGACCATAGCTTCCTCACGTGTTTTATGGATTGACCTTTTCTAATTGTTGTGACCTCTTCCTGTTGTGACCTTTCTGATCCAGTTTTCCTCTCTACTGTTCCCTCTTTTTTAAACTTATTCACCATTCTTTTGATGGTTCTTGAATGGACTTTGAAGATGGAAGCCAGAGTATGAATGCTGGTACCATTACTGAAGTCCTGAATTAACTTTCTCCTCTCACCATTGCTCATTTGATGAAGACAGCGGGTCTGACACAAAACAATTATAACCTGTTCTCTTTCTAGATGAATAACCCAAAGGGCTTGTCAGTGATTCTTATGACAAATTGTATCAAGATGGCTAAACATCTTATCTGAAAACCTGGAAAAAAGAAACTCAGTTTCATGATTTTTTTTAGATATTAAATATTTTGTGGGATGGTAAATTATGTTGTAACATGATTTGAACAATTTTGCTGTTACTCCTGGTATATATATATATATATATATATATATATATATATATATATATATATATATATATATGAATGACATGTTTTGTCCTTTAGGACTTCATCAAACTAGATTTGCTATGTTGATGCAGCTACATGTATGAGGAATGCTGGGAGTTTAAAATTAAATTTTTTTTTATATATAATCTAGCTGACCTCATTTAGATTCTTTTCTTTTTCTTTCCCATCACTGTTGTTAGTATATACCCCATGAAAATAGACCTGCCAGGAATGGTGAAATGTTGTAAGAGCCAGTGTGCAAATTTACTGTGGATAACCTTGTGATCAAGGCACTCTCTAAATATTTTTGTCTTAGTCAATTGTTTTCTCCTTTGATCAAAATAGCATTTTTTTTTTACATCAAAATTGTGGTTGAAAGGACAAAATGTGTCAAATGAAAAATTTTTTCCACTCATACATTTTTCCCCAATATTTTTTGATTATATATATATATATATATATATATATATATATATATATATGCTTCCAACTGAACATAAGGAAATAGAGCTTTCTTTTAACTGTCCCATTCCATGAAAAAAAGTTTCAGGGTAGATATCAAGTATATAACCTTGTACAGTTTTCTAAGCGAGATCTTTTCATTTTTTGTGTATTTTAGGGTTTTTTTTTTACTTTACAAAAGAGAGATCAATTTAACAAATGTAAAATCCCGTTTTTCTTTGCATAGTCTCTGGGTGTCTTGCCACTTTGGTCCTTGGCATCAGGGTCAGCACCATTATTCAGCAAGTATTTTATTGCATTCTCTCTCTTGGAGTTCATGGCCTTTAAAGAAAAGAGAATAAAATTTAGAAATTTGCTTTGAAATATTAAAGTCACACACAAACACACACACACATATATTTTTATCAATTTAAATGTTATTTTTAGTGGATACTCATATTTGAGTAGGCACTCCACTTATTAAAAAGTATTTATTAAAAAATTATTTTCTTCTACAGGCTTGAATATACAAGAAATCTTATTAAGAAAAATTTGCACTCCCCAGCAAGATTTGAACCTGCATCCCTCAGATCAGAGAAAGCTACCATTAAGCCCAGCATGCTTTAACCAACTTGGGCATGAGGAATAGTCGGTCAGGTGAGGCCAAATTTAGTGCCTACAAACAAAATTTTTCCTGCCATTGAATCTCTCAAAGTTTTTCATATCTGCACCATTTTGTACACAACATAACCAAAGAGAATTTTAGATTTTTTATTAATCTGTCAGATTAATAAAAATATCTTTATATATATATATATATATATATATACACTGTCATCCACAGACAGACTGTTTCACTGTTTCACAGCTCATAAGTATGTCTAGACATCCAAGTGCTTATATATCAGGTGGCATTTAAGCTAGCTCCTACAGAGGGCTCTTCATTGGGCATTCATCACATTAGGTAGGGAGGTTTAGATGCAATAAGCAACAAGTATTACATTAGTATTTAAGCTTAACTTTTAAAAGTTCAATGATATTTCTTCTGCTGCCACTTAATTTAAAGACAATTTGATGTATGTAGATCATTACTTTCCATACAAACAATTATTTTTATTTAATGATTGACTTTCAGTGGATTTTGCAATTAATTTTGATTATACTCAAGGATTAATACAAACTTAAAGTTTGTCATTTAGCTGATTGATATTATTTTCTGTATCCCAACTCTATAGTTTCATAGACAGAGCCTCCAGCAATCGCTCAGTCTACTTATCAAGAGATACCAGCAGTGTACAGTGGAACATCGGTTCGCAAATTTAATTTGTTCCTGAAAATCATTCATTGCTGTCAACATGCAACACAACTCTTATTATGTTTTTTTTCAACTGATAAAAAAAAAATTCACCATAAACAAATAATTTGGAAAATAAAAAAAATATATACATTAATTTAAAAAAAAAAAAAAAATTTCTTTGAATAAATAGAACATTTTTAAACAGGTACATAAAAAAATACAATGTTTACATGATGAATAATTGAAAACATCACACACTCACCACATGTAGAGCAGTCCGTTTGTCATAATCTGAACAATTCAGATCAGCTCCAGCTATGTGCCATGAATGTATTGTGTCAACATCATCTAAATCTGCCGCACTGTAAAATAAAGATATGTCAGCTTAGAACCTTAACAAAATTGCTCTCAGGGTTATGGCAACATCTCATTGAAACACTAGTTCATGTATAAGTTATCACTTGGAAATACCAGGTGCTGTAATCTTGGATGTGTGGGTGGTGTAATGGATAATGACTCAGAATTGTTAATAGGAGAGCCAAGTTCCAATTCCAGTTGGGTTCGTTATATTCACTTACACACAAATACCCTTGGGAAAGGTGTGAATCCACCTCTACTCCACAAAGCTATGGGTTAATTAGTAATATTTGTATCATTATAAATCATTATTATCTTCAAAAAAAAATTCTTATAATCTATAAAGATTTTCTGGTTTTAAATTAGTTGCAAAGGTTAATAAGACGTAGAAAATGAAATCCACCTCTACTCCATACAGCTATGGGTTAATTAGTAAGATTTGTATCACTATAAATCATTATTATCTTCAAAAAAAAAAAAAAAAAAAATCTTACAATCTATAAATATTTTCTGGCTTTAAATAAGTTGCATAGGTTAATAAGACATAGAAAATGAATCAATCAAAATTGCTCTCAAATTCACAACTGCCGAATGGTTTTACTCAAATTCTAAAAAAATTTAGATTATTTTTAACACCTGTCTATATTTCTGAGATGAGGTATTGTAATTATTTACATTGTTCAGACTGTTGTCCTCATCTTTATTGCCATATTCACAATGTACAAGTCATTGTACGCTTTGGCCTTCTTCAGGTGATTGGAATTTTGAACTGAACACTTTATTTCGTTCACCAGAGTAGATTGCTCTAGTTCCACGTGGCATTCAGAAGAGGCAGGCCTCTTCTGAATGCCAGTTATCTCCCTTTAACTCAACTCTCCAAGTTTTTGTCCACCACTGCAGTAACCAGATATTGAACTTAAAACTCTATGGGTCAAGTCACTGGATCGAACCAAAACTTTTATCCACTGGGCCATGTGTCCTTCAGTTGTGAGTTCGATACCTGGCTACTGCAGTGGTGAACAAAAACTTGGAGAGTTAAGTTAATGGGAGATAACTGAGAGATGTCCAGAAGAGGCATGGCATGTGGAACTAGAACAATCTACCCCGGTGGATGAAATAAAGGGTTCAGTTTGAAATTACAATCACCTGAAGAAGGCTAGGGCATACAACCGAAACGCTGTGGATATGGCAATAATGATGTGGACAACAGTCCGAACAATGTAAATAATGTAAATATTTTTTAACATTTTCAAAATCTGACATTTGATAATAGTGTCACACTATGGACACTCATGTAGAGGGGTAGGAAGAAGTAATTTTATCTCAGTCTCAAGTTTTTCTGCTTTATGGCCAGCAAATGGCTATATTAAAGTTTTCTAACTGTTATCTACTTTGATCAAAGGGAAACAAAGAGTAAAGGAGTAGATGGAGTTTTTTTTTTTTTTAGGAGACCAAGCGACAACAATGCAAACATTGATTATTTCCAGCTGTTGGTCTATATTAACAGTCTCAAAATGAACAGAGACATATATATACTTACTCCTGTGCATTTATCTTTGGATGAATTTGTTAAGCACAAGGACACAGTATTTAAATCAATGTTAAAAACTTACCAGCATAATTCCGTTGCTATCCTCACACTGTTCCGGATGTGAATGGTGGCTCCTGTACGGACTAATAAGGGAATGACATCAAATCTATTTCCATAAATGGCATCCATTAATGGAGTATTGTTGTTGCTATCACACTGATGAACACTGGCACCCTCTTCAAGCAAATACTTAACTACAGACACCAACCCTTCTCTAGCTGCAAAATGGAGGGGTGTTCGGCCATCTTGGTTTGCAGAAGATAAATTACCTCCCTGGTGAGAGAAATAGAAATTATTTTTTTTTTTTCAACAATCAACAGCTAGAAGAGAAAATAAAATTCACAAGAACAGAATTCATTTGGGAAATTTAAGTCTCAAAATCCAGTATAACTATAAACATTAATTCTCAAGAATGTCACTATTGAATCTTATCAAAACATAAATCTATGCGCTGGATTTTTTTCAAATATCTCCATTCCTGAAAGAATTACTCCTTTCCCAAACCAAAATACATGACTACGAAAATGTTAAAAAATTAAAAAGAAAACTGTTAACTTCATAACCTCGTGTTATTTAAAATTAATCTCAAACTAAAATAATTTAAATAGTAATTTGTATTAAAAAAAAGCAAATTTCAAGAACATTATTTAGTCACTGTCGATTGAATGGTGTCACTTGGCATCCTCCATAGCTTACTAGACTTTTCGACTAATCTGCTGAATATTTATGAGTGTTCTTAAATTTAAAAATTTTGTAAAACCAACAACATTTTTGCTCTTGTATATAAATATTTGTTACAAATTAAAATCCTTGCATAATTAATTGTGTTTTTAGAGACTTTTATATTCAATGTCTGATGCTTTTTGACATTTGGTTATGACTGATAAGTTCATACCACTTTTCATATATTAAAAAGAATTTTTTAAAAATGGTTAAATTCATAATCTCATTTTATTTAATATATTAATCTCAAACTAAAAGAATTCAAATACTTATTTGCATTAAAAAAATTTCAAGAACATCACACACTTTTGTCTATTAAACATTGAATTCTGACAATTCATGTCCTCCATAGCTTACCTGACTTTTCAGCTAACCTAATGAATATTTATGAGCATTCTTAAATTTAGAAATTTTGAAAAACCAATAACATTTTTGCTCTTGTATATAAATACTTGTTATAAAATAAAACCCTTGCATAATCAATCATTGTGTTTTTGGAGCCTTTTATATTCAATGTCAGATGCTTTTTGACATTTGGTTATGATAAGTTCATATCAATTTTTCATATATTAAAATAAAAAAACTGATATCAATTATAGGTTTCTAAAATAATTCAATATAAATTATAGATTTAGAAAAACCCTGATATCAATTATAGGCTTACATACATAATTATGATACAAAAATAATCACCTTATCTTTCAGTTTTTTCAACGTTTCTAGTTCACCCATTTTGGCAGCACCACACATCAAGTTGGGAAAGATCATATCTCGGAGTTTGTTAGTTTCCTGAAATATAGGATTTCAAATTCAGTTAAACATCGCAGACTTTGTACAGATAGAAAGGGCAGCTGTTTTGAAAAAATATAAAATTTGTATATGAACAGGAATTAAAAGGGAAAAGACATTAGGATGTGAAGCATGAAAAAGACATATTCATGAACAATCAAGACCAGGATATTTTGCCAAAACAATTTACTCTTTTGACTCTAATTTGAGTGCAGCTAAAAATAATGATAGACAGTCCATGAAGAAAATTATAAGAAACAGACATTAGAAACATCCTTAAATATAATACACCACACACACACACACATATATATATATATATATATATATATATATATATATATACACACACATATATATATATATACTAGCAGTAGAGCCCAGCATTGCCCGGGGATGATAACAGTAAGAGATAGATCAAGTATTGACCATCATAAAGACTGAAAAATAAAATTATTATTAAGATTATTGTTTAAGGTTGATGGACATAAACGTCTTAATTATTTTTTTTTTTTTTTTTTTTCGAATTGGTCAAACCCAAACTCAAACAAAAACATTGTTTTCAATCGTTATGAGTCTACCGATTGAATAGAATTTTATTATAAACAATTGTCTTGTAAATGGAATTTTTAAAGCATTCTGAATGTAAAAATAAAGAAAAAAGTGTGCAAGACAATAAGAAACACTACCTGCCAAAAAAAAATAAGTTGAAGTTTTGTTGAAATCAGTTGAAAAATGTAGGAAATCCGATCCCATATATAAACACACACAAACAAACAACCAACCTGGGTTTTATAATAAGTATAACTCGATATTAATTAGTATAACTTGATATGAGGTGTCCCCCTTTCATTAATGCCTCTTAATTGTGTTTTCAAATTGATTTCATGCAAAAACAATTGTTTTTCCAATTTTTGGCGATGTCAGAACCACCGCAAGGTAATTTTACGTAGTCCTGTGAAGTTTTGTTGAAATCGGTTGAAAAATGTAGGAAATCTGATCCAATATATAAACGTACAGACACACACACACACAATATGCGTTTTATAATAAGTAAGATCTATATACACACACACACACATATATATACACACACAAATGTAAGCAAATATGTGGATATGTCCTGAAGAAGGTCTACTAGACCGAAACGTCGACAGTGAAACAACATTAAAACAGCATACTTGTGTATTCAGATTTTTGTTTTTCCATATATATATATATATATATATATACACACACACACACATATATATATATATATATATATATATATATATATATATATATATATATACACAGATAAAATGAGAATAAATAGAGTATAATTCCACTGTATGTAACATTTAATTTAAAGGAGGACTCAATAATTGCCATTATGAAGCGAGATTTTTAACGTTTTAATATCCTAAGTTATATATATATATATATATGTTTGTATGTACTTATTTAAGTTTTTTATGTGTACTGAGAGACAGTGTGCAAAATTTTGACATGAGATGCACAGAAGTCAAGACGCCATTCACATCCATACGAAAAAAGGTACCATGTTGAAAACTACAAAGAGACCACCCCAACTGACAGTGACATAGTTCACAGTAAGAACTAATTTCTAACTATCTCTTGTATCCCCCGTTACTACTAAGAAGCACATACATATGTACTGTCTCTTTCACACAAATGATGACCGACTGACCCAAATTCAAGTTATGTTTGTTTTTGAAAAGAAAAAAAGAAACATATGACATTTCACTGTTTCTCACGTATGTACATAAATTATATTTATTTATTTCTTCCTAATTGGCCCTAAAAAGAAAATAAAACACAGTTAAATTCATAAAACAAATATTCAACAAGACTAATGTTGCCCGTGACTCATATCTGTCTCTCATAATTTTTATTTAACTAAAGTTCTTTTTTCTTTTTTAAAAACAAATATAACTTAAATTTATCATCATTATTTTTCCCACTTCCCCTAAAGTGTTACACAGAAAAAAATTGTACTTGGATTAAACAAAAATTTCTTACAGTATAATACATTATACTTATAATACATTCCTTCTTGCTATCAATTTTGACAGCATCGGTACACTAGTCTTAATATAATTCTGCTTGTCTCTCATTAGTTCCTTAGCACGTACATACCTTACATCCTGCTAATACATCATAAATAACAGACTATTCCATTTTGATCACATGGAAAGACAGAAAAGACATATCGGAGACTACTTGGTTTCAGTGAGAGAAAGAAAGACAGAAACATATTGACAATACCTCATAAATAATGGACTATTCCATTTTGATCACATGGAAAGATGGAAAAGACATATCAGTGATGCTACTTGGTTTCAGTGAAAGGAAGAAATGCCCTGCCAATACCTCATAAATAATGGACTCTCATTTTGATTGCATGGAAAGACAGAAAAGGCAACTCAGAGATGCTACTTGGTTACAGTGAGAGAAAGAAAGAAACACTCTGACAATACCTTGTAAATAATGGACTATTCCATTTTGATTGCAAAGAAAGATGGAAAATACGGAAGGAAAGAAAAAATTCAAACTGGAAAGCCATGAAATTTTCAAGTTAGTATGTCACCAAATTTATGAACCAACCCTTTATTCCAACTCAGGGCAAGATTTAGTACATTTTTCACAAAAGAAAACTAATTTGAAAGAAAAAACAAAATGCTAGAAAGTATTATCAAAATAGAACACCACTTTTTCAGCACCCTCTCATATACGAAAGTTAAGCTAAAACATGTGATTCCTTTTAGGTAAGAAATGACATGCTGTCAGCCAGAAAGCTTATAAAGAAATTCTTGAGACTTGTGATAAAGATAAAACTTACCTCAAATGTACTTAGGTTCAATGTATCTGCCAACTTTTCAATAATTTCCAAACTCAGTGCAGACTCATCCTTCTGCACAACAGTGATTTCTCCCCGAAGGTTTTTACTCATTAACTGTGGAGGAAAAAGAAAACTGTAGATTAAAAGTCAAATAAAACTTCTCTTTCGTACCTGGCACAAGTGTCAACTGAAATAGTCATGCTAGTGGGAAGTTTTCAACTTGTAAAATCTCACAGTGTACATATCTACACACTTGTTCATATTATGAAGATATATTAATATACTCTTTTGTACCAAATACAAGGACCATCTGGAATAGTCATGCCAGAAAGAAGTTTTTAACTTGTAAAATTTGACACAGTGAACATATCTGCACACCTATTCATATTACAAATATACATTCTTTTTTTATGCCATCTAGAATAGTCATGCCAGAGGAAGTTTTTTAACTTTAAAATCTGACAATTCATATTATAAATATACATTCTTTTTTACCAAATACAAGGACCATCTAGAATAATCATGCCAGAGGAAGTTTTTAACTTGTAAAATCTGTATCTACATCTATTCAATTACAAATATACATTCTTTTTACAAATACAAGGACCATCTAGAATAGTCATGCCAGAGGGAAGTTTTAAAGAAAATCTGACAGTATCTACACATCTATTAATTATAAATATACATTCTTTTTTTACCAAATACAAGGACCATCTAGAATAGTCATGCCAGAGAGAAGTTTTTAACTTGTAAAATATATCATGCCAGAGACAAAATCATATATCTACACATCTATTCATATTATAAATATACATTCTTTTTTACCAAATACAAGGACCATCTAGAATAGTCATGCCAGAGGGAAGTTTTAACTTGTAAAATTGAAATCTATTCATATTATAAATATACATTCTTTTTACCAAATACAAGGACCATCTAGAATAGTCATGCTTTTTAACAAAATCTGACAGTATCACATCTATTCATATTATAAATATACATTCTTTTTTTACCAAATACAAGGACCATCTAGAATAGCCATGCCAGAGAGAAGTTTTTTAACTATCTACATCTATTCATATTATAAATATACATTCTTTTTTTACCAAATACAATCTAGAATAGTCATGCCAGAGGGAAGTTTTTTAACTTGTAAAATCTGACAGTATCTACACATCTATTCATATTATAAATATACATTCTTTTTACCAAATACAAGGACCATCTAGAATAGTCATGCCAGAGGGAAGTTTTTAAAATCTGACAGTATCTACACATCTATTCATATTAAAATATACATTCTTTTTACCAAATACAAGGACCATCTAGAATAGTCATGCATATTTTAACTTGTAAATATACATTCTTTTTATTACAAATAATTCTTTTTTACAAGGACCATCTAGAATAGTCATGCCAGAGGGAAGTTTTAACTTGTAAAAATCTGACAGTATCTACACATCTATTCATATTACAAATATACATTCTTTTTACCAAATACAAGGACCATCTAGAATAGTCATGCCAGAGGGAAGTTTTTAACTTGTAAAATCTGACAGTATCTACACATCTATTCATATTACAAATATACATTCTTTTTTTTACCAAATACAAGTATCATGCCAGAGGGAAGTTTTTAACATCTATTTTTACACAAGGACCATCTAGAATAGTCATTTTTAACTAAATATTCATATTATACATTTTTTTACCAAATACAAGGACCATCTAGAATAGTCATGCCAGAGGGAAGTTTTTAACTTGTAAAATCTGACAGTATCTACACATCTATTCATATTATAAATATACATTCTTTTTACCAAATACAAGGAATAGTCACCATCTGACAGTCATATATTATAAATATACATTTTTTTTTTACCAAATACAAATCTAGAATAGTCATGCCAGAGGGAAGTTTTTAACTTGTAAAATCTGACAGTATCTACACATCTATTCATATTATAAATATACATTCTTTTTTACCAAATACAAGGACCATCTAGAATAGTCATGCCAGAGGGAAGTTTTTAACTTGTAAAATCTGACAGTATCTACACATCTATTCATATTATAAATATACATTCTTTTTTACCAAATACAAGGACCATCTAGAATAGCCATGCCAGAGAGAAGTTTTTAACTTGTAAAATCTGACAGTATCTACACATCTATTCATATTACAAATATACATTCTTTTTTACCAAATACAAGGGCCATCTGGAATAGTCATGTTTATTGGAATCTTTCAACTTATAAAATAAGGGAAGAATATTTTATTCCTGAAATGAAATAATCATACAGTAGAGAAATTTGGAAAATAAAGGCATATTGGTCCAAATACACTCCATGTTGAAAATGACGGTTGTAGAAAACAATTTAATTGTATTTCTTATTCATACAAATGTATCTTGTTAAAAACAAAAATTTTAATTCCACACGTTAATGTTTCTATAATGGTCATATCAAGTCAAAACAAGACTTCTGTACATTCTTGTAATTATTGTCTGAATAAAGAAACAGTACCAAATAAGCTAAGAAAATTAAAGGATGAATGGATTTGGTTTTTTTTTATGGTTTATCAACCCTTTTTGGCTTATTTAAAGACAAAACATAATTTGAATTGTAAAAGGTTGCTTATATTACTCGGTGCTCCCAAGTAGTCCCTCATCAAAGTACTGCTTAAATTTGGTGATTTACTGAGAGAGGAAAATTAAAGAAAATATTTTAATAGGGTTGGACATTTGTATTTGGCACCACAAGAGTTTAATAGAGATTATGTTATTTTTCTTCTATCTGGGAATGGCCATGGGTTAAAAAGTAGAGTGCAGCATTAAAAAAAATATTAGTAAACCCATGTAATTTAGACAGGTCCTGATAATTCTGCCTGTTTATTCCTTCATTAGTCACTTAGTTCATCCATCCGTTACTCTCTTCAATACTGATCTGTATTTGGCATCTCACTGGCAGCAATTTTCAAAGAAAAACCCTCACCCACTTCATCTCACTATTGCCGTCAACAAATTTCAGTGATTTTCAAAGAAACACTATCACCCACTCCAAAGCAGTTAGAGGTGCAGCAATGGAGGATTCTTATAAAAGTCCATTCTTATCAATTTTTTCTTTGTTTTGTATATATATTATCTTGTATTTCTTTTGTGTATATACTGCCACTTTTTCACTGAAAAACAGCATAACATTATGAAAAGAGCCATAAACTTAATAAAAATTTTTAATGTCAAAATAATTGTTATTATTAAGAGGAAAGACCAAAGAATTTTTGATTACTTTATTAAATTTTTAATCCTTTCTAGCATGTTCAAAATTTAAATAAAATCTTGTTTTTTTTTTTTTTAGTTGGCAACCCAGGTGATATTTATGTTAGTGTTTTTGTGCCTATTTTTCAGATAAAAAACACATTGACTGAGAAATTCTTGCAAAAATCAAATAATTGTCAGATTTTAATAAAACTTTCAGGACTTATTCACAACTGAATAAAATTATTTTTACATTCTTTGTTTTTCAGAAAATTGTAGTAAACATAATTTTTTTTTTTACACATGTTGCAACCCACTAATGATTTTTAGTTTCACTTAACTAATTAGAAACTAATTCTAGAAAAAATAATTTTTACTTTAACTTATCTTTCTAATTAAATTTCTATTTGAAATTTTTATATTTTAATTTGCATGTCATTTTGCAATTTCCTTTCAAATTATTTTAATATTTAACTATTTCATAAAAAAATTTTTTTTTATTTTACTTTTCTTTTTTTATTTTGTTTGGAACAAAAGCATTTGAAAGATAACCTTGAATTTAATTATTTTTAGACTTTATTTCATTCACATTTGAAATTAGTAACTTTCAGGATTTATTCGGAAATGAATGAAATTATTTTTGCATTCTTTGTTTTGCAGAAAATTTTAGTAAACATCATTTTTTTTTTACATATGTTACAACTCATGAAATTTCAAAAAATTAAATTGGCCTCAGAAAATTTATAGTGACCTCTAAATGACATTATTGTTAAAAGGTGACATGTTTTAAGGGTTCTCTTCCACTTACTGGGAAAACCCACTCAACTTTTTGGGACTGCAATTCTTTCATTTCATTTCTGTATTTCATTGTCTTAACAGGCTTTGAAAATTTGTACATAAGTGAAAAGCATTAAATATATCTTCAAATACGTCTATAAGGAACCTGACCATGATTCTGTTCAAGTAAAAGACAACCCAGTGACAGACTGTGAGCAGAATCAAGTTCATGATGAAATTACTAATTATCTTGCTTGCTGATATGTTTCTCATCCAGAAGCTATGTGGAGACTGTCAGAGTTCAAGCTACATAACACATCTCACAATGGCTATGGACTTGCTGTACATCTTGAAAGCCAGCAAAGAGTTTACTTTCACAGAGGCAACACTCAACAAGCTGCTCAGGCACATAGGAACTGTGACACTACCCTCATTGTATGGTTTAAACTGAATGAACATTATGATGATGATGATGATACAAGGAACCACTTGTACTCTGACATTCCACTGCATTATGTGGTTAATAAGCAAACTAGAACATGGACACCTAAGCAAAGGAATAAGCAAACTAGAACATGGACACCTAAGCAAAGGAATAAGCAAACTAGAACATGGACACCTAAGCAAAGGAATAAGCAAACTAGAACATGGACACCTAAGCAAAGGAATAAGCAAACTAGAACATGGACACCTAAGCAAAGGAATAAGCAAACTAGAACATGGACACCTAAGCAAAGGAATAAACAAACTAGAACATGGACACCTAAGCAAAGGAATAAGCAAACTAGAACATGGACACCTAAGCAAAGGAATAAGCAAACTAGAACATGGACACCTAAGCAAGGAATAAGCAAACTAGAACATGGACACCTAAGCAAAGGAATAAGCAAACTAGAACATGGACACCTAAGCAAAAGGAATAAGCAAACTAGAACATGGACACCTAAGCAAAGGAATAAGCAAACTAGAACATGGACACCTAAGCAAAGGAATAAGCAAACTAGAACATGGACACCTAAGCAAAGGAATAAGCAAACTAGAACATGGACACCTAAGCAAAGGAATAAGCAAACTAGAACATGGACACCTAAGCAAAGGAATAAGCAAACTAGAACATGGACACCTAAGAACAAACTAGAACATGGACACCTAAGCAAAGGAATAAGCAAACTAGAACATGGACACCTAAGCAAAGGAATAAGCAAACTAGAACATGGACACCTAAGCAAAGGAATAAGCAAACTAGAACATGGACACCTAAGCAAAGGAATATAAACATCGTAAGTAGAATGTATACAGCGAGCCCTAGAGACACAGAAAAATTTCACTTGCGAATGTTGCTGCTGCATGTTTCAGGCACTATGAGCTTCCAGGATCTGTGCACTGTAGATTTTGCCAACATTTAAGGCAGCATGCCTGAGATATGGTCTTCTCTCAAACAATGACACATTGCTAGAAAATGCTGCCTGTCAGATGCCCTTACAGTTATATTTGCTGCCCTGCAAATGCTCTTCACAAGGAATCCATGATTGAAGAATTCTTGCATCAAGGTTTTAATACAGACCATGCAGAAAACATGGCAATGCACTCAATTGATGCAATTCTGATAGAAAATGGTATTGTTTAACAATTGGGCTGATTTAACCTATTGGAATACCGCAGCTTGACCATCATAAAGACCTTGATCACCCAGGTACTGCAACACTTACTAATGAACAGAGACTGACTAATGCTGTGCTTGAATCTATAGATAAGAAGAGGAGAGGTGAGGCACCCAACCACACCTGTTTCTATGAAGATGCACTGGGAGGTTGTGGTAAAACTTATATGTTTAATACCATAATTTCTTATCTGCAAAGGAACAACTGCAATGTGTGCAGATGTGCTTAGACAGGCACTGCCTCTATACATATATGTAGAAAAAGTTTATTGTTTATTCAACATTTAGTCATTCCGTATACTACTACTACTACTACTACTACTAATAATAATAATAATAATATTATACTACTTCTACTAATAATAATATTATAATAATATTATTATATTAATATTATAATAATAATATTATTATTATAATAATATTATTATTATTATTATTATTTTTTATACATTTAAGAGAAGAACGTGATTTAAGAAAAGATACAGAAATGAAAAAACAAAGTGTTTGACAATGTTAAACAATATTTCAACAGAATGTCTTCAAGTTTAAACATTTTTTTCAAGTATAAAAGTATATAAATCTACAAAAAATCATAAGTCTTCGTTCCTTACCGGTACATCCATTTTTTTTCATTACAAGACTAGCAACGTTTGTACAAAGACTTATAAGTTTTTGCACATTTATACACTTTTATACTTGGAAAAAAAAACTTTAAATATAACTAGTTGAAGACAGACATCCTGTTAAAATATTGTTTAACATTGTCAAACATCTTGTTTTTTCTTTTCTTTATCTTTTCTTAAATCATACTCTTCTCTTAACTGTTGAAAAATATTGGAGTAACATCAATCATTTTTTTTATTATTATTATAATAATAATTATTATTATTAATTATTATAATTATTATACTACTACTACTAATGGTAATAATATTAATATTATGCTAGTTTAGAGGAGGTAATTTATAGTAAAAAATTAATGAACTATTCGAGGATGTTAAAACCTGAAAGAGTTAAGGCCCTTAGATTTGATCAACTGTCATATATTTTGCATGTATTGTAGACAAGAGAGTTGATTCCCATTGTTCATGTTTGGGAGAAATGATTCTGCACAGTTTCAATTTCAATAAGTTTGTGTGTAGAAACTTGGTGATCACCAAACCCACAAGAATATATGGCATGTCCAAAAGAACCTTGAAAAATAAGAATAAAAGTAACAAACCGTTCTTTTTTCTTCTACGGATAATTCTTCCTGACCAAGCAAAAACATAAGTTTTGTAATAGCAGCCTCAAGGGTCATGTCACCACTGCTCACAACTTTGGCTTCTTGAATGCCCTAAAAGCAAAATATCAAATTAAATTTCAACACTTCATTAGATAGTATATATGAAATCATTAAAATCAGTATTAAAACATCTCATGATGTGGTTAACATGGTATGCATTTTTGTTGTGGTAACTTGCAGGTTCCAAAGTAACAGTTTATAATAAATATATATTGCTCTACTCTTGTATTGAACCCTTTTTTAAATTAATGTTATGAACGTTTGAATTTATATTATACTTTTCATTCTTTTACATTTGGATATATATATATTAAAATAATGAGAAAGGACAGTAAGAATTATAATCCAATGTTCTTATTAATTATTTTTATTTTTAAAAAAACAGTGCTCAATACAATTCTGCAGAGCATAAACATTATAAATTTACTAATTTAAAAAAATGGACCCATCACTACAGAGGAATTAAAATTTAATTATAGAATTAAATTAAAATCCCTAGTTCTATTTCATTTGAAAATGAAACAAAACTAGGGATTCAAATTTAATTTGAAAATTAAATTTAAAGTTTTAATTTCTGTTTTTGAAACATGGTAATTCCTGTGTAGCGATGGGACCATATTTTTAAATTAGTAAATTTATATAATATATATATATATATATATATATATATATATATATATATATATATATGGAATGTGAAAACCAGTCTGATGTTGAAATTTTTATTTTCATATGACCTTCTGTTACATTATATGAGCATTTTCAAACATAAATGCTTCAAAGTCTCTAAAGGAAATGTTGTCATTATGGCAACACTGCAGCACAAAAGGCTGCAGTCAATTTAAAAATATATCCATGAACAATTCAGCAAAACTTGTACATAGAAACTATGTTGAAATGTAAATATGGTGATGATGAATAAAGATAAATGAAAGCAAGTTTTGTGAAAAATAAATAAATAAAACACATATAACTAAAGAAAATAATGTATACTTATGAATAATTTCATTAGTTTTATTTACACTATTTATATTCGGACTATTGTCCTCATCTTTGTTGTTATCAAAACATTTAGGCTGTTGTCCCTTCCAGTCTTCCTCCAGTGTATACTGACCTGAGTAACCTACAGGGAATTCTGAACTGAACTCTTTACTTAATCAACAGAGTGGGGTTGGGGGGAAGACTGTTCTCATGCTACTGCCCATGTCTAGGGATATCTCATCTTAAGCACGATCTGGCTTGAATTTCTGGGATGAAGAGTTATCATTATTTTCCTTATTTACATTTAGACTATTGTCCTCATCTTCATTGTTGTTATGTTTCATCCACTGGCCTTCTTCAGGTTAGATTTTGTTTGTATCATTTCACATTATCTATAAAAGGCAGGATGTGTGTGTGGATGTGTGTGTGTGTGTGTGTGTGTGTATAACGAATGCACAGCCGCAATTTTCAACGGATTTGCACCAAAATTTACATGCACATGATCCAAGTTAGCAGGAAGGCCAAGACCAACTTTGCATTTCCCAACTCCCATCGATAGTGAAAATAATCGATTTTTTCATGCTTCTACGGCAGTTTTCATGTAGTTTGCAGCCATTTTTTACTGGCCAGAGTGAGAGCCTATAGCTGGCTGCCACAAATAGGCAGGAAGATTCTATTGGCCAGCGTGAGAGCCAACAGCTGACTGACACAAATGTTAACTAGCATGCAAAAAAATCGATAGCTGCATTCATCACAAGTGGGAAAAATTTAAATCTGCATGGCACTTTACTCCAATTGGCTCATTCGCTTACTTAAACTCAACGTTGATTCTGATTCCGCAGAACTGGGTTGTGTGTCAAAAAGTATTTGTTGTTCACAATCTTTTTTCATTCAGTTTTTCCAGTTACAAGTCCTTTTTTAAAGCTGATCGTTTTGTGTTCATTTTGTTTAGTTCTTTTTTCGTAACAGATTTAATGTTTAGTATAGAGCTTAGAAAAAATTTGCAGTGTGAAATAGTCAAGAAGTAAGGCATGTAGCAACATCAGCATGGCAAAGTGCACTCCTTTAAAGGCAAGGAAGGGCAAAAATATTTTAAGTCAAGTGATAGCGATTGCTGTATGAATCGTACGATTTTTGAATCAAGCACGGATAAATTTCACAAAAACTCTTGGGTAAATTACTCACCTCAGCAACAGCATAATATCTTGCAACTGAACCTTTATGACATTGGGTGACGTTGACAATCACTAATCCTCTTTCTGAAGCTTCTTTTAACAACTTAATAAATTCTGTATTTTTACTTGGAGCATTCCCAGCACCAAACGTTTGGATAATAAGTCCTTTGATTTCGGAATTTAAAATAGACTTCACCTGAAGTAGAAAATATATATTTTCTATTACAAAAATTGTTTATTATATAGATAAAGTTATCAAACTGTTATCATAAATCAAAATCCCTTCAATACACATAAGTTCCAATAAATAAAACAATTTAAAATCAATCATACCAAAAACCTTGTAGTGATATTGAAATAAACCTTGCCTCATTTAGATAAACAAATACATTGACTTATATATATTTCAGGAAAATCTTTGACAAAGTGGGAAAAAGTTTTTGTGTCACGCATTTTGTCCTTTAGTACTTTATCAAACTAAATTGAGGTTTACACTGATTTGGCTACACATGTACATGAAGGAGAGGGGATGTTGTAATTTTAAACTTTTATATTTTTTTTTTTTTTTAAATATAAGTCTGGTTATATAGTCTAGCTGATTGCATTTAGTCCTAATTTTTTCATTTATATTTTATCACTTTTGTTATTAAGTATCCCACATTGGGATAATAGAGGATCTAACAAGGAAGGTGGAAGGTGAAATGTTATGAGAACCTGGACATAAATTTACTGTGGATGATTCTAGCAATTAAAGCACTTTCTATACACTTTCGTCCTAGTAAATGCTTTTCTATTTTAATTAAAGTAGCATTTTTTAAATCAAAATTATGGTCAGAAGGCAAATAGAATCTTATAGGGTTGTGATGCTCTCTGCAGTTGAGTGTTCTAATGCACACTGGATCAAATGGTGGTTTCTCCTACAAAGGGGGACACATGTTCATACCCAGCCAGAAAGCAGATTTTCTTTATTACATTTTCTCCAGACTGTGCATGCTAATAAACGTTTAATATAAAAGAATATGGTTTAACATAAAAAAAAATACAAACATATCTATATTTCTGAGATGAGGTGTTATGTACACTATTTACATTATTCGGACTATTATCCTCATCTTTGCACCAGTAGCGTGCAAAAGGAAAGGAGGCAGAGGATATGACAACCCCGGGCATCCATTTCAGGAGGGGCATCCAAACAAAAAATGAAATAAACATTTAGTTTATATTTAATTTGAATAAAATGTTTATTTCATGTTTCATCTTTTTTTAACATTTTTTAAAATATCTAAAGGCACCCCCCCCAACTTGAGTTTTAGGGGCAAACAATCAAGGAGTTAGCCCCAGGCATCACCAAAACTCCGCATATTACTGATTCTCACACTTCACATAAAACCATTATAAATTCTACATTAAATAATTTCAAGTCACCCCAAACATATTGTAAGTTTAAATAAAACAAATAATTTTCAAGTCAATAAATTTTGTATTGATTTTTGCATAAAGTTCTCGAGTTAAATGAAATTAGATAAGGTATATTTAGGCAGCAAATATTCATTCAAATACATTTAATTAATTGCAGCCAACAAGCTCTTGTCTATGTAATTTATTATTTATTTTTCCAATTATTGAATAAAATGTTGTATATTGGGATCAAAATTGTGGATAAACTGTCATGTTCTGTTTGTTCCAAGTAATTTTAATCACCTTTTATATAGTTTTACACAACTAATATTAAACATAATTTCCTTTCTTTTTTGATTAATTCAGTGGTAAATGTTAATTATATACATTAAACAATGAATATTTCATATCAAAATTTAGTTAAAGACTACCTGTCGAGCTAGACTGATCCATCCTCACATAAAATTATAAACTAACAGTACAAATAGAAAATAAATTAAATACAAATAATACATAATTTTATCCCATACTAAAATAGTTTAAATATAAATTGCAAAAAATATACTAATACACACACATATATATATATATATATATATATATATATATATATACTATATATATGTATGAGTGTCTATATATATATATGTGTGTGTGTGTGTGTATGTATTGTACGTGAGGAAATTTTAAAGAAAATGGAAAGAAAAAGGATGTTTATACTAAGAATCAGAAAGAGTCAGTTGAAATTTTTAGGGCACAAAATGAGAAAAGAGGGCTTTGAGAATTTGACACTCACAGTACATACTGAAGTATAGAAGGACAAAAAGAGGGTAAGTTGCGGAGAGCCATGATCGCCCATCTTCATACAAGCTGCCTTGACTGAAGCATACAGTTTCTATTTAAAAAAAAAATAACTGGCTCTGAAAGAAATAGCAGTTCTACCAGGATTCATTATTGGTGGACACAAACTTAGCAACATAAGATGACACAGTATTGGTAGCAGACACAGAAAGAAAATTACAAGAACTCTTATAGAAAGTGGTGCAGCAAAGTGAGAAGAAATAAATATCAATTGCAAGAAAACAGAATGCATGGTTGTTAGCAAAACGAGCAGCCCAACTTGCAAATTACAGATTTGAGATATCACAATCAAACAGGTACAACATTTTGAATATCTAGAAAGTGTTTTAACAGACTACATAAAATGTGATACTGAAATCCGAAGGTGCATTAGCCTAGTGAAAGCTAAGTCAAGTATTAAGAAATAGAAACATTTTATTAGAAAAAAAAAAAAAGAAAGCACTGTTATGTAATATCAGTGCTCCTATATGGCATTGAATGTAGAACAATCTTCACACAGATGAAGAATACACTAAGCAGCAGAAATGTGGACGATAAATACTGAGGATGCCATAGACTGAATATGTGAACAACAAGGTTTTAGAAAAAATTGAAACAAAGAGAAAACTTATGCTTAACATCAAGGAAGAGACAGTTGAAATTTCTACAGAAGGATGCTGCTGAGGATACCATGAACCAAATATTGAGCAATGATGAGGTTTTAGAGAAAATGGAAACAAAGAGAAAACTTAACATCAGGGAAGAGACAGTTGAAAGTTCTACAGAACAATGCTGAGGATACCATGAACCAAATATGTGAGCAATGATGAGGATTTAGAGAAAATGGAAACAAAGAGAAAACTTAACATCAGGGGAGAGACAGTTGAAAGTTCTACAGAACAATGCTGAGGATACCATGTACCAAATATGCAAGCAATGACACGGTTTTAGAGAAAATGGAAACAATGAGAAAACTTAACATCAGGGAAGAGACAGTTGAAAGTTCTACAGAAGGATGCTGAGGATACCATGAACCAAATATATGATCAAGAACAATGTTTTAGAGAAAATGGTAACCAAAAGAAAACTTATACTTAACATCAGTAAAAGACAATTGAAATTTCTAGGGCACATAATGAGGAAAAAGGGCTTGGAAATGCACAGATTGAAGGTAATGGAAAGATGAAAACAAAGCATAACCTACTTAGCAAACTTGTCATTTTTAAGATTATACAACTAATATAAATCATTTTATAGAAAATATTTTTTCCTTGTAGCCAACGTCTCTGACGTAACCCACTCTGACGTAAGCCAAGTGTTTGTGTTCATCCATGCATACCTAATAGTGATGACTTTTAGAATTTTTGCATGAAAGACACTGAAAGATTTTTTATTTTATGCTCTCTGCAAGTCAACTTTATGGAATTTTTATACTATACTAGCAGTAGAGCCCGGCGTTGCCCGGGGATGTAACAGTAAGAGATAGATCAAGTATTGACCATCATAAAGACTGAAAAATAAAATTGACAAAGATTATTGTTTAAGGTTGGCGGACACGCATGTCTTAATTTTTTTTTGTTTTTTTTTGTTTTTTTTACGAATTGGTCAAACCCAAACTCAAACAAAGACATTGTTTTCAATCATTATGAGTCTACCGATTGAATAGAATTTTATTATAAACAATTGTCTTGTAAATGGAATTTTTAAAGCATTCTAAATGTAAAAATAAAGAAAAAAGTGTGCAAGACAATAAGAAACACTACCTGCCAAAAAAAAAAAAAGTGAAGTTTTGTTGAAATCAGTTGAAAAATGTAGGAAATCCGATCCCATATATAAATGAACACACACACACACACACACACAACCTGAGTTTTATAATAAGTATATCTCGATATGAGTTGTCCCCCTTTCATTCTGGCAACAGAATCGTGCTGTATTGTGTTTTCAAATTGATTTTGTGCAAAAACAATTGTGTTTTTCCAATTTTTGGCACTTTCAGAACCACTGCAAGGTAATTTTATGCAGTCCTGTGAAGTTTTGTTGAAATTGGTTGAAAAATGTAGGAAATCCGATCCAATATATAAACGTGCAGACACACACACTGTTTTAAGTGTAAGATTAAGTAAGATTATTTTAAAATAATTATCTGCCTTTGTTCACTCAGCAATAATTCATATCCATGCCAAAAAGTAAGGAATGTACCAAGTCACAGTCTGGCAAGAGGCATAAAAAATAAGCTGCCTGGCCATCAAAGTGTATTCCAACCCTCAATGGCTGGCAGAACAAAATTTAGGAGAAATAACAAAAAGACAAAATTTATTAAGAGCTACAAAGGACAGGAAGTTGTGGAGAGCCATGATCACCTACATCCTGAAGGGACATGGCACATAGGAGAAGAACTGGTTCAAAATTGCCAGCTTGAAACAAAGAGTTTTTAAACTTCTGACTGGCTCCTTATTGTTAATATTTTCAAGTTATTTTTATATCTTATGCATGGATCAACCTGCTTAGAGACATGTTCTGTTCTTGACGTGGGAACATCCATAAGGACTCTTATGTGGGCCACTATAAATCTCTTGATTTGTTTTCATACCCCACAAACTGGTTATTTGTTTAATGGTTGACATCATTTTTAAGATTATACGGCTAATATAAATCATTTTATAGAAAATATTTTTTTCCTTGTAACCAATTAAAATCTGTCTCTGACGTAACCCACTCTGATGTAAGCCAAATGTTTTTATGTTCTTCCATGCATACCTAATGGAAAGGACTATTAGAATTTTGCATGAAAGATTTTTTTTATTATTACTCCAAGTCAACTTTATGGAGTTTTTATACTGTAATATTATAAAACAATTATCTGCCTTTGTTGACTCAGCAATAATTTATGTACATGCCAAAATGTAAGGAATATGTCATGTGATAGTCTTTTTTTTTTACAGTAAGGTTCATTCTGTACAAGGCCTTGGGGCTACTCAAGGTAGAGGTAGAGGGTTACATTAAGAGGCAATTTGTGCAGATAGGAGGGGAAGATTGTGACGATAGAAAAAAAAAAGGGTGCTAAGCAGCTATTTTAGCAAAAAAAAAAAAGATAATCAATTCCAATCAATATAATTTCTGTTTGAAATACACTAGATTATTTTGCTTACTGTAAATAGTAAATTTAATCCTTTAGCTTTCAATGACCTTTAACACTCTGTAGGTGACTATTTTTGTCAAGCAAAATGTTAGTCCTTCCAATGCAAGTTGAATTTGAATTTTTTGGTTGTGTAGTCATAACCTTCTATGATAACACTTAAAACAATCTTAACTGAAATTGAGAGCCAGGCTACTGCAATTTCAAATATATAAAACTAATATATAAAACATTATATTTTGAGGGGATTTCATATACAGTAAAAGGAGAAGTAATATTTATAAATGATGCAGTTCTAAATATTAAAGCTTCAAGAAAGCATTTTCATTTTTTAAAATTAATTCTATACCTTAGGTATCGAAAATTAGCAGAAATACCTAATGTTATACATTATGCATGTGTTCTATAGACCATCAAATAAAATATTATAAATAAGTAAAAGTTACTTAACAGTTGCAATGGACATTGACGGTAACAAGTGAAGCACTGCAACATCTGGGCAGAGTTTGGTGTTGACAAAGAACTTCTCTAATTTCTTTGGTCTTTGAACAGCTGTGGAATTAACTATAAAAGAGGAAAAATATTAAATCTTTAACAATGTCATTAAATATTGATAAAATCTAGAATACTTCATAGGACAACAATCAATAAAACTATGAGAAATTATAGACCCTTCCCCCTGCAAAAAAAACGGTTGCACATCATGAAAAATCAAAGAAAAAAAATTAAATAAAATAAGAATTCAGAAATATAGATATATGCTTAAAGGCTGCCTTCAATTATAGAATTATTTATATTACAATTATTTTGCAAATAAATACATGCAGACTACTCTGTAATTAACCAAACTCCAACTACATTTAAAAATTAAAGTTAGCTTTTACTTGTGTTCCTATTAAACCCTAATCAGCAGGAATCTAATGTTACATGAGTTTAGCATTTATATACATTATTTACATTATTCGGACTATTGTCCTCATCTTTCTCGACATATTTATGACGTTTCAGCCGTTGTACGCTCCGGCCTTCTTCAGGTGGTTGGAATGTCGAACTGAACCTAAAAATCTCTGTTTTACAAACATTTCTCTTAATAATTTAAAAATAATTCAGCAGATGATGTTATTTTTTTATGATAACTGAATTTTTGTTCTCTTTTCTTTCATAAGGAAGTATTCATATAAAATACAAATTTTATTGCAACCTAATTATGTAAAATAATGCATCGTATGCAATTCAACTAGAAAAATTGAAAATAAACATAATGTATCTAAATACAAATTAGAGACATGTCATAATAGATCATTCCATTTTAAATAAATCAACAATGTTTTGAGGAAATTTTTAACATCAACTTGAAATTTTTCTTGTTAAAAAGTTGAATAATTTTAATATATTCAACATTATGGATAAAAAATAGTGAAATTTTACTTTTTAATATTCAACATTATGGATAAAAAAGTGAATTTTTACTTTTTAATATTCAACATTATGGATAAAAAATAGTGAATTTTTACTTTTTAATATTCAACATTATGGATAAAAAATAGTGAATTTTACTTTTAATATTCAACATTATGGATAAAAAATAGTGAATTTTACTTTTTAATATTCAACATTATGGATAAAAAATAGTGAATTTTTACTTTTTAATATTCAACATTATGGATAAAAAATAGTGAATTTTTACTTTTTAATATTCAACATTATGGATAAAAAATAGTGAATTTTTACTTTTTAATATTCAACATTATAGATAAAAAATAGTGAATTTTTACTTTTTAATATTCAACATTATGGATAAAAAATAGTGAATTTTTTTTTTTTTTTTGCCATTTTTAGTAGGTTCAGTATTTGATAAACAATGTAACAAAGAACTGCTGGAACTGCTAGGTAACCTTGACATATGTAGGAAGAACATTAGAATAATCCAGAACCTTCATTAGCAGCAAGCTATCCGCATATAGATAGGAAATGACTTCAGTAAATAATGAATATACAAAAATAAAAAGAGGTGAAAGACAAAGATGCATCTTCTCACCAGACCTTTTCAATCTATACAGGGAGGCCATTCTGTGAGAATTAGAGTTCCTACCAGGATTCATTATTGGCAGCCACAATCTTAACAATGCAGATGATAGTGTTGATAGCAGTTGCGGAAAGCAAAATACAGGAGCCCCTACAGATGGTAGTGAAAGCAAGTGAGAAGAAAGAACTAAACATCAATTACAATAAGGCTGAATTCATGGTTGTTAGCAAAAGGGACAGCCCAACATGCAAATTACAGATTGGGGATATCACAATCAAACAGGTGCAACAATTTAGATATCTCTGGCCTGGAAATCTAAAGGCACATTGGAATTACCAAAGATGCATTCCAAAAGCTGAACAAAGAATTAAAAAACAAAAACTCTGTTTGAAACAAAGAAAAGTATACTGAGCTGTTACATAATATTAGTCCTCCTATATGGCAATGAATGCCAGAGAATCTCATCATTGATGAAGAAGAGACTTGAAGCAACAGAAATCTAATTCTACAGAAGGATGCTGAGAATACCATGGACTGAACATATGAGCAACAACGAAGTTCTAGAAACAAGAGTGGGATAGTTGAAATTTCTGGGGCACATAATGAGGAAAGAGGGCTTGGGAAATTGGATACTCACAGGTTAGAGAGCCATACACAAAGAAAGCAATACACAACCTATCTGGCGAGTTTGAACAAATGGATGACAGAGCAGGGTTTGGAAGAGATGGCAAAAAGACAAAAGTTATTAAGAGTTACAAAGGACAGGAAATTGTGGAGAGCCATAATCGCCAACATCCTCAAGGGACAAGGCACATAAAAGTGATTGGGGAGCAGCCTATCAGGAGTCAGCCCCACAAACCAGCAGGTCTTAGGAAGAAGTTGAAATTTCTGGGGCGCATAATGAGGAAAGAGGGCTTGGGAAATTTGATACTCACAGGATAAATTGAAGGTTAGGGAGCCATAGGAAAGCAACACACAACCTAACTGGTGATCTTGAACAAAGGGATGACAGAGTAGGGTCTGGGAGAGATGGCAAAAAAGACAAAAGTTATTAAGAGTTACAAAGGACAGGAAATTGTAGAGAGCCATAATCACCAACATCATAGAAGAAGAAGAAGAAGAAGAAGAAAAAACAACAGACTCACCCACAACAGAAATCAAATGATTACGGTATGCAGGGGTGCCCAAAAGTTGTTTTACTATAATGCTATTTTATAAAGACAGTTATATTTCAACTCAAACACCATTGTTTTTCAGCATTTTAGTTTTCATTATTTGAATTAATATTGTTATTGTTTTATTTTCATCTTATCTTCTTTTCATTTTTTTTTAGTATTACAATAAAGTAACTTTTAGGGGCACCCTGTATGTATATATATATATATATATATATATATATATATATATATATATATATATATATATGTGTGTGTATGTGTGTGTATATAAAATCTATTCAGCCAAGGACTGTATGATTTAGTCAAAACAATAAGGTCATCCCAAATTTAGTCAAAGTGGAAATATAGGTAACTTAATTAGTATATTAGTTTTCACCAAGACAAAGAGTCACCATGCAGAAAATTCATTAACTTTTCAGTACACACGAGAAAAAATATTTTTACTTGGGTGTACTGGAAAATTCAACATTACTTTACCATAAAACTATTTTATAAACACAATACTATTTCAGCTCAATTACCATTGTTTTATTTTATAGTATTACAGTAAAGTAAAAAAAAAAAAAAAAAAGAATAGCATTGCAGTAAATTGGTGTATATAAAGGTGGTGTAACATTTAGCAGCTTGGAAAGAAAAATCAGCAAGCCAAGTTCAAATTCCAGTCAAGTGCATTACATTTGTTTATGTGCAAATACCCTTGGGAAAGATGTGAATCCATCCCTAGGAATTGGTTAAATAGCAGAGCAAACAGAGCTTTCTAGCCATGGTTGTCAACCAGTCTAGAAGAAGGACAACACTTACTTCAACTACTGTATGTAGATTTGGTGTATAGTTTTAATGAGAAAAAGAATGTATATATAAAAAGAGTGAAAGAGCAATTATTTTGTAACTACAAAATTGTTGGAAATTTATTTTTAAACAAAAAAAGATTCTGTCTAGTCTTCATGAGTAAAAGAAACCAATCAAATTTGATAATTATCAGATTGTTGGAAATTTAGTTGAAAATAAATAAATTAAATATTTCATTAATAAAATAATAATAAATTAAGATCTCCTTTAACTTTAAAACTTACATTGTACACCTTGTCATTACCTCAGATAAATAATGAACTATTCCATTTTGATTGAAAAGAAAGAGAAATGCCACAGACACTGTCTGGTTTTAGTGAGAAAAAAAGCAAGCAAGAGAGTGTAAATTTGTTAACTATAAAATTATTAGAAATTAATTTAAAAAATTATATTTTTCATTAAAACAATAATAATAAAATAATTATAATAAAGAGTAATAATAATTATAATAGATAATAATAATAAAATAATTGTTTTATTAAATTTAAAGACTAAATGCCTTGCCATTACCTCAGATAAATAATGGATCATTCTAGAGACAAAAGAAAGAGAAATGTCACAGACACTGTCTGGTTTTAGTGAGAAAAATAGCAAGCAAGAGAGAATAAATTTGTTAACTCTATGATTATTGGAAATTTATTTAAGAAAATTATATATTTCATTAATACACTAATAATAAAATAATTGTTTTATTAAATTTAAAACTATATGCCTTGCCATTACCTCAGTTAAATAATGGATCATTCTATTTTGATTGATTTCCTCAAAATTATCTTACTTCAGTAATATCTTCTGACCAGGTTGATTACCTTATATTTTCTGGTTAAACTTGTTACCTCAAAATTGTTAATATCTTTAAACTAGATGACATTTTTTTTACAATTCTAAAATGTCACAAAACAAACAATGATTAATTAAAATGACCGCTAACAACATGTCATTTTGAGCTGTAATGTATTTTTCTAATTTTCATTTCAGGTAAAAATGAATTTTTTTAAAATAAAAAACCTTTCTTTAAGCTTTTATTTTAGTTTTTATTTCAGGCTAAGAGATTAAATTTAATATTTCCAGTATGCAAAATACTTTGCTCAATTTCAAAATTAATTTAAACTGACTGGAGTTTTATTTTTTTGTTTTTGGGTAAAATAGCTGATTCGCCCCCTAAATTATATTCTCTTTATTAAAAAAATCTTCTAAAAATAAAATATAATTTTCTGAATCTTTATTTGAGGAATATTAGCTGACTTAAAGTATAATTAAAATATTATTTACTTTGAGTTTATTTACTATCACAGAAATACATTTTTAAATCCAACAGTAACTGAGTTTTAACCTGACAGTAGTTGTTTTGACATGTTGACAGCCTGATGACAGGTCTAATGTTGTTCTACAGAGACTTTATCTATAAAACAATTTAAGAAAAATGATGTGAGCACCTTTTTTATATAATTTTTAAGTACTCAGTAATCTTAAAAATTAAGGCAAATATTCTTCATAACCTAAAGTTTTATTGAATTTTAGAAATGTTGGCTTTAAATTTAGTATAGTTATCGCTCTTATTTTCTGATAATGTCATGTATGGTCAACTGTACTTACAAAAATCAGTACATTTATACACATACAAAAAGTTCAAAATTCTTTTAAAAATATTGGTGTTTGATGATTTGTATTAAGCTTTTACATTTATGATTAGTAAATATAGTTTTCACTATAAAAGGCTGAAATTAATACAGAATTTTAAAAGATTTAAAACTTAATAAATTTTTCTAATTAAAATTTTTAAAAACTTAAATAACTTAAATAATAATAAATAATAAAACTTAAATAATTCTTGTAAAAATTCATTATTCATTTAAATTTTATTTTCTTAAGACAATAGTGTTCTTAATACATCTTATTTATAAAAGCAATTAAAAGCTTTTCTAATTAAATAATGTCATAGATTTATTGCATTTTTTTTTACAATTCAGAGCAGATTTTTGATAAATGGTGTTTCTGTTTGGCAAAAACAAATTGATGATTTAAATTCTCCAAGGAGTTCTGCTTTTAACTAATAAATATGAAGAAGCTGAAATTTAATTTCTCAAAATTTCATAAAATTAAATAAACAGGAGAAACAGAGGTAAATACATATATATATATATATATATATATATATATATATTTACTAGGGTTTTCTAAAAAAAATAAAATATATATATATATATATGAAGCACGGTGGAGTAATGGATAGCGGCTTGGATTAAGGAATCGCAGAGCCAAGTTCAAATTCCAGTTGAATCCATTACATTCACTTGCATGCTAATACCCTTGGGAAAGGTATGAATCCTCTTACTCTCCCTCCAGCTATGGGTAAAATAGCAGGACAGACTGGGTTCTATAGCCTTGGATGGCAACTGGTCTAAGAGAAGGACAACTCTGAATTCAAAACCAGCGGAGGGTCATTTGGGAACCTTGTGGCATTCGGTGCACCAGGTCTCTGTATTCGTCCCTTCAAAAAGTGTGGATGGTCCTGCACGAGGCCTTCACCACTATAATCAAATCTCATGTGCCGGTGTCGGGCTGTCGGTTTCCTGGAAACTGATCTGCTTGACCCTCATACGTCAAATCTCGACAGGAGAGTCAATTATATATATATATATATATATATATATATATATATTTTTACTAGGGTTTTCTAAAAAAACAAAATTTCAAAATTAATTCCATTTATTTGTGAATAAGTCCTAAAAATTTCATTAAAATCTGACAATAATTTCATTTTTACAAGAATTTCCAAAACAATGTGTTTTTAATGTCAAAAAAAGACACTAAAGACCACTATACTAATCTTTGACCCACCAGCTGACACAAGAAAAACAAGATTTTAAACCAAAATTTTGAACATGCTGGAAAGGATTAAAAAATTTAATAAAATAATCAAAAATACTTTGGTCTTTTCTCTTCATAATAACAAACACTTTAACAATAAAACTTTGTTTTTATCAAATTTTGGGCCTTTTTTCATTATAGTATTTTTCATTTTTATAAAATTTTTGGAGGTACCTACTTTTTGATAATATCTCATAAAACTGAAAGTACTTAGACATTGGATAATTTATATTTAAATCTAGTTTGTTAAATTGATTTAATTTAATTCGTTACTCTAATTTATATTTAAATATGTGCTGTAAACCAGGAAAATAGTCTGAAATATAGAAAACAATAAATAAAAAATCATAAACAAAGAATTTTTGCTGGGCTTTAACAAAACTTGTACAATTTAAAAATCGCTGCCCAAATACACCCAATTTAAATATTTGTTTATTAAGTGTATTACTTGAGAAATAAACTTAACTTTGATTACATTTGAACAGGCTCTTATTTCCTCTTCAAAAATGCAACATTTCTTTGATCAACATAATCATAAGATATAATAATAAAGAGTATGACTTCCTCTATGTTTTTTGTTGATCTGTTTGTAAATTCTGTTAGAAAACAAAGACATAGATAAAATTAGCCAGTGAATCCTGCTCTGAACCTCTGACCTCAAGGTAAGTAGGCAAGTGACATATCACATATGCCAGTGTTCTTTTGATTGAACAGTATAACAAAATTATTTTGCAAATAATAAGAATATAAGCAGAGTGCACAGATATTACACTTATCTTAAACAGATGGATGGGGAACAACACTTTGATTGCAGATAGTGTGCACTGAACAAAGGCAGAGGGGAAAGAAGTAACATTTTGAAACTTGACAAAGTGCAACTATCTCAAACAGAGGGCCATAGAACGGCAATTGGATCCCAAGATCATGCAGATAAACTAATCCAGGGTGGCACCAACAAGCACACAAATATTTTGATCCAAGGAAGCACTGAACTGAAGGAGCACCTACATATATAAAATAGACTCTGATCCAAGACAGAAGCTACTTACAAAAAAAAAATAACCTGATCCATGACAGAGCTAAACCACTCCATCAATATTATGATCTGAAACAGCATATACCGATATAAAAAAAATACTTTGATGTGAGACAATGCCAACCCATGCAAAAATACTCTAATCCATGAGTACCAACCTACACAAAACATTCTGATTTAAAATAGCACCAACCAACACAGAATACTCTTGTCTGAGTACAAACCCACACAAAAAGTATTCTGATCAGACAGGACATACCCACACAAAGGAATACTCTGATCTGAGACAGCACCAACTGATAAACAAAAAATTTGATCTGAGGCGACAACAACTCGCACAGAAATACTTTGGTGTAAGAAAGCACTAACTCAAATAAAAAGAATACGCTGATCTGAAATAGCATCAACCCACACACAAGTACTCTCATTTGAGAGAGCAGTAACCCACACAAAAGAAGATGCTGACCTGAGACAGTACCAACCCACACAAAAGAACATGTTGATGTGAGAGGGTACCAACCCACATAAAAGAATACACTGATCAGAGACAGTACCAATCCATGCAAAAGATTACATTGATATAAGACAGTACCAACCCAAACAAAAAGATATGCTGATGTGAAGCAGCACCTACTTGCACACAAATAATCCCACTATTTTGGATAGGCCTTTTCCTAATATAATTAATAAATGAAACAAATCACATTTTAAATAGTGTTTTTCTTTCTTTTTTTTTTTTTTTTTTTCCTATAAATTTTTTCCTAGAAAAACTAGGAAGTAAATGTTTTAAGAGGCGGATATTTTTTAAGTCTCTCTGAATTATTATTTAAAGACTGTCAGTGACCTACCCTGAATTTTAAACCCTAGTTTTACTAAGGGTGCCATATTGGGAGAGTCAAAAGCATCAAAGGCCCCTGTGTCAATTTTGATCGCTCGACATCCACGGAAGACTTTGGCATCAAAACATAACATTACCTGAAATGAAAATTAGAAAAATACATTACAGCTTAAAATGACATGTTGTTAGCGGTCATTTTAATTAATCATTGTTTGTTTTGTGACATTTTAGAATTGTAAACAAACGTCATCTAGTTTAAAGATATTAACAATTTTGAGGTAACAAGTTTAACCAGAAAATATAAGGTAATCAACCTGGTCAGAAGATATTACTGAAGTAAGATAATTTTGAGGAAATCAATCAAAATAGAATGATCCATTATTTAACTGAGGTAATGGCAAGGCATATAGTTTTAAATTTAATAAAACAATTATTTTATTATTATTGTATTAATGAAATATATAATTTTCTTTAATAAATTTCCAATAATCTTAGAGTTAACAAATTTATTCTCTCTTGCTTGCTATTTTTCTCACTAAAACCAGACAGTGTCTGTGACATTTCTCTTTCTTTTGTCTCTAGAATGATCCATTATTTATCTGAGGTAATGGCAAGGCATATAGTCTTTAAATTTAATAAAACAATTATTTTATTATTATTATCTATTATAATTATTATTACTCTTTATTATAATTATTTTATTATTATTGTTTTAATGAAAAATATAATTTTTTAAATTAATTTCTAATAATTTTATAGTTAACAAATTTACACTCTCTTGCTTGCTTTTTTCTCACTAAAACCAGACAGTGTCTGTGGCATTTCTCTTTCTTTTCAATCAAAATGGAATAGTTCATTATTTATCTGAGGTAATGACAAGGTGTACAATGTAAGTTTTAAAGTTAAAGGAGATTTTAATTTATTATTATTTTATTAATTAAATATTTCATTTATTTATTTTCAACTAAATTTCCAACAATCTGATAATTATCAAATTTGATTGGTTTCTTTTACTCATCAAAAACCAGATAGCATCTTTGATATAACTTTTTCTTCCATTTTTTTCACAGTTAAAAAAGAATGGTCCATTATTTATCTAAGGTAACAACAGGGTGTATAATTAAAATTTTTAATTTAATGGAGATTTTACTTTTTTATTATCTTATTAACAAAATAGGGTGTCATTTTTTGTTTAAAAAAATAAATATGGTATCATTTCTTTTGTTTAGAAATAAATTTCCAACAATTTTGTATGTTGTGGATTCCAAGATGAATTCAGTCTCCAAGGAATGACAAACACAATAATTAAATATACTAAATAAATTGTATTTACACAATCATACAAAGAGTAATACTGTTAGTAAGTCCATGAACACGGTTAGTAGCAAATACAGATGGATATATACAGTCTCGAAGTAGGACTTCCTTAGAGTCTACGTGCTTGTAACTGACTTCTACAAGAGGTTACCTTACTCTATCTCTGTTCGTATATTCTCTGACTGTCCATATATCCTCTCTCACTGACTGTCTAACTCTGGGTATTTAACGGCAGCACTCCAAGTAACACTGGTAGAGTCCACTTATATGAAAAGGGGAGGACCCCATAACATTGTAGTTACAAAATAAATGTTCTTTCATTCTTTTTTATATATGCATTCTTTTTCTCAGTAAAACTAAACAGCATCACTAGTATCATTTTCTTCAATCTTTCCTTACAATTAAAAACAGAATGGTTAATTAAAAAGAATAAAAACTTGTAATTCCAACAGATAATTTATTGTCAAAACAGATATATTTGGGAAAGATTTTGCAATCCTTGATCACTCTTGAAAAATAAATGAAACAGTGACTAAACTACATTGTATACATTATAAATTCAAATTAAAAAAAAAATTTTGATTAAATTGAGTTCACGAGACATGCATAAGCTGAAAGTGTGAAAAGTGCTTAAAGAAAGAAAGAAATGTCATTTCTAAAGTAGGGAAAAAAGTACTCCTAATCGTTTTGTATTTTCCATTGAAGTAGGGAAGTCCATGCTGGGTGAAGCTGTGCTGTATCAATTCCATTACAGACATTTTTGGTACTTGCTGTTATCATTTGTTCAACTATCCATCTTTGGTTGAATTTGTATTGGTTGGTCAATTTTATTTCAAGTTGGTCAAAGTGTATTTCCTGACCTTCTTTAATGGCGTGAAGTGTAATTGCTGATGACTTCTCTTGGTTTTTTTTTAATGGTTTCATTTTTTATTATCTTAGTACAAAGATGCCGATGTTCATCTATTCTTTCTTTTAATGACCTGATGTTTAATAACAACCTAGAGAAGTCATCAGGCACCTAAGAATACATCCAGAAGTTAAATTACAACCATGAAGCATCAATGGTCAATTTAAGACAACAAACCTAATACAATGAAATATTACTCACTAAAAGTCACACTCTGTGCAGACTTTTGGCCCAAAGCTAAATGACCTCTGGTCCAATTTAGTAAGCAGAAATGATAATTTTGAAAAAAATCACTTTGAATATGGAACTACAAAACCTCATTTTAACTCTGACTCAGGCTATAAGTTCAATTTGGGCCAAAAGTCTGATTTGGACCAAGAACTGAATTCTTCAAATCACAAATTCCATGGAACTTCAATGGAGGTGAATTCTTCAAATCACAAACTCTGCGGAACTTCATTACCTCACAAAACCTCTCACTTTAACTCTGATTCCTCTGCATTTTGAAGAAATAAAATTGATTTCCTCAATTCACAAAATTTTGGAGATATTTAAAACAAAAATTTTTTAAATTCAATAATTTTTTATGTTCCTTTAAACTCAATATAAATTAAAAACTTTTAAAATCACAAATTTTTTTCAGTTATTTTAAAATCTGAATTTTTAACTGTTCCCTCGTCATCTGGACACAAATTCCAATGCTGGATGTTCAAGCATAAGATGAAGGGCAGATTTTTAATCCCAGGATCAACCTGATTCCAAAAAGGTATAATATGTCTATATAGAGCAAGTGTGACCTGAGTTAGATGGGTTTCAGACACACGGACAGACAGACAGAATTTACAGTTTATTTATTTAGATTATACAAGAATAGGTTTTTAACAATGCATATTCAAGCAAACAACATTACCAAAACAAAAATTAAAATCCAAAACTAATCCAAAGAATATGCTAAGTGTCTCTTTTATTCTGCAAGTATTATTTACCATTTCAGTATATACCAAGGCAATACCTATTCAGATATTCCTTGAACACAAATGGGTAATAGTCAGAGAAAGTCTTAATCATCAAGAGGAACAAACATGAAGGAAAAATAAAACTGGAATAACCAGTAGTTCTCCAGTTCCATAGAGAGGCAAGCATCAACAGACCAATACTGTCACTTGGTATGAAGTGATCGTTGACAGATGATAAAAGTCACACAGGTTAATGACAGAACCTTAGTCACCTAGAAGAGCAAATATCAGTGACAAAAGTCTGGATTAGGCAGACACTCTCCAGTTGCATAGACAGACCATCAACTGATAGATAAATTGGCTTGATAAGCAGTGATTTATGTCAAAGCAAACACAGTCAATTGCAACAACATAGATTGACCAAAACTAGTTAGCTGAATACTGCAATTACTAGGAGTTGCGAGCACTAGTACTGAATTCGTACTTACAATTTAAGTGTGAACGCAACTGAAAAACATAATGACTAGTAAATTCAATTCTTCATAAACATCACTTGCTACTAACATGAAGAAATAATGAAGATCATGAGAGACGGAGAAGAATGGAAGAATCTAGTTAATGATGTTCAAGATTGCTCTTTTGAAGTATCCAGATCCACCTTACTATCAATGGCTTGCAAGATTAACTTGCAAATCAATATGTGTCTTACTTATTTTTTTAATATTACATAAATACTTACAGTCTTTCATAAGGATGTATTTAGGGAATCATTTTTTTTTTTTTTTGACAAATATATAAATTATTACTTACCTCTGGAATACAAGAACAAGCTACAACCAAAGAGGAAATAAAATTTACATATCCATCACTTCGTAATTCAATTACAGGAATCTAAAATATAAAATAAAATCAATGAAAAGAATTGCTAAATAAAAAATAAAAAAAATAATTGAGAGATATTAGTTTTTATTCAACAACTTAACCTCATATCACATGCAAGAACCTTTTTTTTTAATCATTTCACCCCATGCAAGGTGATAAAGCCACTAAGACAGAAGGGGGTTACTGAGTGTGGAAGAATCTGAGTAGAAAAGGCAGTAAAAGAATAAGATTCAAAAAGACAGATGACATTGCATTTAAATTTTTATTTGACAGGAAAGCAAGAAGCCAGAAGAGAGTTCCAAATGCGAGAAGTGCAAAAGAAGAAACTATCAGCATAGAACTTACGGTTGCATCTGGCAATTTCAACTGTAAAATGATGTCTAACTGCTAATCTCGTACTGCCCTTAAATTTCTGAAGCTGAGGTACCAAAGAGGAAACTTATCTGAACAATTACCGTGAAAATATTTATACAAAAAGGCACAGAGAAGCTACATTACATCAGTGGAAACATGATTGAAGCTGAGATGACAGGTCAAGATTAATAACATTGCAGATTTCTGTCAATAATTTATAGAAACATAGCAGAAGTATCAGCCTAGATGCAGCAACAATATTCAATGCCTGGATGAATGGTAAAATTATAAATGTGCGAGATAGATTCTGGAGAGAAAATTTGCCTAGCATGACACAGTGAACCAACTTTCCTAGCAGTAGACCTAACAATTGATTCAATATAATTATTCCAATTCATATCAGTGGAAAATATTAGACCAATAAAGTGCAATGAGTTACTCAACTGGAGGTTAGCATCAGCCATGCTTATAGAAGGCAAAAAAGTTGATTGATCCAAAAGGGTTTTGATCCAAAAAAATGTAAGTTCAATACCTGGCCATAGCAGAGGTAATAAAAACTTTGAGAATTGAGTTAGCAAGGGAAATTAACTGAAGCTGAGATATGCAAAGACATGGCATGTCGAATTAGTGCAATCTATCCCCATGGACTAAATAAAAGGTTCAGTTCCAAAATTCCATCACCTGAAGAAGGCCAGAGCATACAACAGCCGAAACATTGTGAATGTGGCAATAAAGATATCAACAATAGTCTGAACAATGTAAATAGTGTAAAAAAAGAAAAGATAATGAAAAAATGTGTTTATAAATGATAAGAGTAGAACAACTGAAAAACTTGATTGATTGACTTTTTTTTTATGGCTTATCAACCCACTGCAGGTTATTTAAAGCCAGAAAATATTTTTAGAAGTGTTTTTTTTTTTTTTTTTTTTGAACACGTCCTACTAATTAACCCACAGCTGGGGGAAGAAGTGGATTCAAAACTTTTCTAAGATTATTTGCACATAAGGGAATATAACAAACCCAACTGTAATTGGAACTTGTCTCTCCAATTAAGAATTCCAAGCCATTATCCATTACACAACATGCACATCGAAGCTTACAGCACCCATCTAGGTACTGACCAGGCTCAGCATTGCTTAACTTTGGTGATCATATGAGAACAAGTGTTTCAATGAGATGTGGCTGTAAGCAACAACTAAAAGAAATAAATATCATGGTTGATCAGATAGTATTTCATGTTATTGTTTCTTTCTTAATTTCCACACTGCTTTAGTTTCATATGTAGGTGGAATTCAGTAAAACAGTATCATAGGTTCAAAGAACTTCACATTCTTTCAGTAATAATCATATTAAGCTTTTGATAAGTAATGTTTAGATATTGAGTTAAATATTTCTAAAATATCTTATCAGAATAAAATATCACTATCAGACAATCTGTGTCACCACACAATGTTTCCGGATCTTTCTAAAATCTACTTCAACTCTATACATCTGACATCACCACCTAAACTCTGAAATTTTATTTACTATTTATTTTTTACTTTTTATCCTCAATGGTAGTAGATGGGTTCACCTATCATTTGTTTCACACTCCTCAGCAGCCTTTTGAAACAGAGTAGAGGTTTATCTCTTGTTTTGTGTATAATTGACTTTCCAGTTTATTCTAAAGTCTGATTCAACTCTATACTTCTGACATCTCTACCTAAAGTCTGAAATTCTTTTTTTATCTCCTCAATAGAAGTAGATAAGTTTGCCTATCATCCGGTTCACATTCCTTGCCAGCCTTTTGAACTTAAATAGAAGTTTATACCTTGTTTAAGGTTGGGTTTCCAGTTCCTTCTAAAGTCTTCTTATTCTCTTTCACTCCTAGTAACCTCTTACATTTTAGTAGCCTTATCTCCTTGCTTAGGGTGAATTGATTAAAAACAAAAACTAGTAAAGTTAATATTTCAGTTCAGTTATATGCCATGTGTGATATAAGCTTAGGCGATCATGTATCTTGATACATGATTGACAAGGCAGATTTTTTCCTGCAGTAGGTTGCCATTTCTTTCTGCAGTAGACCAGTTGCCATCCAAGGCTATAGGACCCAGTCTGTTCAGCTATTTACCCATAGCTGGAGGGAGAAGAGGATTCATAACTTTCCCAAGGGTATTAGCACGTAAGTGAAGATAATGGATTCTGATTCCTCAATCCGAGCCGCTATCCATTATTCCACCGTGCCTCCTAATAAATCCCAGTAAAAGTACTTAGGAAAATAATTATTATTTGAAAGATAATTTTGGTAGGAGTAGATAAGTTTACCTATCATCCAGTTCACACTTCTCCCCAGCCTTTTAAACTGAAGTAGAATTTTATACCTTGTTTCCTGCTTAGGCTTGGGTTTCCAGTTCCTTCTAAAGTCTTCTTATTCTCTTTCACTCTTAGTAACCTCTTACATTTTAGTAGCCTTATCTCCTTGTTTAGGTTGAATTGATTAAACACAAAAAATAGTAAAAGGTAATATTTCAGTTCAGTTATATGCCATACGTGATACACGCTTAGATGATCATGTATCTTTCAATACATGACTGATTTTTCCTGCAGTAGGTTGCCCTTTCTTTCTGCAGTAGACCAGTTGCTATCCAAGGCTACAGAACCCAGTCTGTTCTGCTATTTACCCATAGCTGGAGGAAGAAGAGGATTCATACCTTTCCCAAGGGTATTAGTGTGTAAGTGAATGTAATGGATTTGACTGGATTTCAAACTTGGCTGTCTAGATTCCTCAATCCAAGCCACTATCAATTACTCCACCGTGCTTCCTCGAGGTAATATTTACCATTTCTTTATGAGGAAATATTTGGCTTTCATTGACCAAGCAGCCTGTGCTACTTTCTGTTGAAATTTATATAATCTTTCTCTTAACACAGTTTTCCAGGAAAACAGGTTTCTCAAGTCCAGTAGCTGTTATAGATCTTTCCAGTATGTTGGTTCAAATACCTAGGAATGACTGCTAAGAAAATCCCCTCACCAAATTTATAATTAAATCTTACAGATGCATGCTGGGATTTGAAGTATGGAAGCCGTTGGTATAAACCAATGGCTTCTGTTACCAATTATAGACATTTAAGAATATTTGTAGAGATTCCATAGTTGATTTTGTTTAGGTTGGGTTTCAACTGTTTGATGTATAATGCTTCAAGGATTTTTAGTTTATGTCTTGTTTTCATGTCAAAGTATAATTGTTTTCAACAAGTATTTTACGGAATTGTGTGTGCGAGCAGGCATGTTGTTTTGAATGAAGACTCTAACATTTTTAGGCATTTAAAATATATATATATATATATATATATATATATATAAGACATTTTTTTATGTTTATACGTTCTTTTTTATAGATACAAATATTTAAGTAAATGCTCTGTTTATAATAAACAGTATTAACATTTACCAGCCTGAATGTCCAAGAAATTTTCATAGAAAATATGCGACCTCCGAATTAAAATTTCTTGGACACTCAGGTCAGTAAATGTTGTTAATACTGTTTATTATAAACAGAGCATTTACTTAAATATTTGTATCTATAAAAAAGAATAAAAAAAATGTCTTAAATAATTGTTGGATTTTGTCCATTTCAATATATATATATATATATATATATATATATATATATATATATATATATATATATATATATATATTTGTTCCTCACCAATGAAAAAAATGTATATTTATTCTTAGTATAAATTTTAGCTATGTTATTTAACAATGAGCACCAGCACTTACTGTCCACAACAGGAGCTGCCGAAATGGGGTTGAAATTCGACACCATGCCATCTTCGGGGCACCATTCCAGATTTTCTGTCTGGGTTTACTCCTATAGCCTTCCTTTCTTCTAAGAGTAACCACAAGGCAGCATCGCCCATTGACCAGACATGAGTGCTAGACATTTGACCTTGGGTCTTCACTTCCCAAGGTTGTCCAGCGCTCATTTGCAATTGTAAGGGTTTGAGGTTTTCCCTCTCTTATGCTGGCTGCCAACCAAGGCTAATAAGACCAATTGGGGGGTTAACTATTTGCTCATAGCTGGGAATCTAACGGGTGCTACTACCACAGGTCAAAACATCCTGATCTGCTGGATGCAGTTTATTGTCATACCCAGGGCAACTAAACTCCAAATGTTACTACTCCTATTTCCTTTGGACCACATATCTATGAGGCCGAGAGGGAGATTCTGATGTCTGGGCAGCCCAGTATCTCCATATATATCAACCAGATGACAGCTCAAGCTGGGGATGGAAGTTACTGGTTCTAAATTGGGGTAACTGGCATATTCCCAGGTGCTAAAGGCCGGAGGGGTCAATGAAGTCCCACTGGTCAGCTACTGTCCACCTCAAGCTGGGCAGCGCCTAGCCAATAATAATGCCACTGTCTGTCTGCTTCAGTGGGTGCTTAGAGATAGGACAAAATCTCAAAATCTTACTGTACACTATGTGTGTGTGTGTGTGTATGTGTGCATGTGTATGCAAACATGGAAATCAACACTGCATGGTGACAGTCAGTTTCATGCCTCAAGTGATCTTAGGTGACAATGCTTCATCTGAGAAATTTGAATAAACTGCTAGTTTTGTTTTCTCATTATTATCAGTTGTGTTTTTTTTTACAGTGAGATTCACTCTGTACAAGGCCCGAGAGCTACTTGAGGTAGAGGGTTACAAAGTAAGAAACACATTTTAGGCAGATATATGGGGAAAATAACAGTTAACCCTAGACTTGAATGAGTTAAGACTGTAGTGATCGGGGAAGCATCCACTTAGGAGTTATTTCCACAAGGCAGTGGTTTGTGGGAAGAAGCTGTCTGAGTGGAACTTACAGCTCACCAAAGGAATACAAAGGGAATGAGGGTGGTTCCCTAAAATGTGGGTAACATGCTGGGTCTTAGCTGTGACGGTTAGAACTAAGGAGTGTAGTCCATCTGAACACTTTTCATGGAAATAACAATAGAGCAACAAGAGACTTGCAACATCTCATCTGTTTATTTTAGAAGCAGAGATAAAAAAAATTCTTCATTAGACTAAAATTGATTGGAAAGTAAATAAGTGAAAATAAATTAAAAGACTTTTTTGTCGCTAGCAAAACTTTTACCCTATTAAGATTTTTACAGATGCAACAATTTGTGACAAAAACAATAATTTCTGTTGTTCATCGTTTATGAATATTTGGAATATGCGATAATGTGAAAAGAAAATAACATAATCATGTTGTTTACATGTCTATTTCAAAATGGAGATAGGCAAGAAGAACTATTGAAATAGTAAGCTGAAAATTGCAATCTGATAAGGTCACAGTTTGAGATAATATAGTCAGAGTAGCATAAGTGGTGCTAAGAAACAGAAAGATAAGGTACGATAAATGTAAAAAAGAAAACAAAAGGGAAAAGGAATGCATTTTCAAAATGCAGGTCAGATTTTGATATTTTTTTCTTTTTATAGGCAATATATTAAAAATATTTACCACTAAATATGATAAGAATATATCTAAAAAACAAAACAAAAACAAGGAAAGAAAGACAACAAATGTTTACCAATATATATAATTTTTCAAATTAATCACATTTTTAAATAGCAGGGTTACCATAGTAACAATTTTTATGCTAAGATTTTTTCAGTAATTTTGTGAATGGTGTAGAGTGAAATGTTAAGGAAATAAAAAAATTAAATATCCAACTATATATATATATGTTACGTTAGCCCAATATTTGTACCCTCACCTCAAAGTATATTTTAAGTACATTATGTATGTGCAACGAGACATGGGATTATTAATAATTTCTTTATTTCTTGAAAAAGCAGATTGTGCGATATATTTGTTTTTTTCATCCCCAGTTGAATCAGGGCCAGTTCTTGGAAGAGAACCTCTCATTCCCTGTCTGGTTCTTGATCGTAGGCCAGACAAACGCTGTTTGACAAAAAGTGCAAGTGACCCCAACAGTATTCTATGAATGACACTTACGCATTTTTCGTAGGCTGGCACGTGACGGTTTTGTTTCATGCGTGTCGGGGTAACAATTCTTCACTTAGCTGCTTGCCCCCTGACGAGGTAGACGTCACCAGAATCTGTCTTAGCTGTTTGCAGCCCGAAGAAGTAGATGTCACCAAAACCAAATTTCGCTGTTTGCAGCCCGAAGAAGTAGATGTCACCAAAACCAAATTTCGCTGTTTGCAGCCCAAAGATTTAAGAACATCATCACCCAAGTCGGCTACGCTTTTATGATTCACATATGTATACTAGAACATTGATAATCCCTGCCTTTTATGTTCAGAAAAAAAGAAACAAAAAAAAAAAGTGTATGAACATCTTTTTCCATTACACTGTGTTGTTGATGAGAATTCTGATCGACGTCAATCACCATCTACTGTGGGTGTTGCATGTTTTTTTTATATATATCTTATTGTCTGCTTGCTCTATATTCCTATGAGATTCGTCACCGTAATATTTGTCTAACTAATTACTCATCTCCCCATCCCTTGTGTTATTGAGTTTTGTTTTTCTTCTTTTCTTTCTTTTGCATATTTGTAAATAAACTGTTTATACGATAAATCCTTGTATTGTCTCCTATTGTTTTGTGTCTATGCATTGTATATTTCTTGCTGTGTTCACCAGTGTCTGGATTCGGAGAAATCCCCTCCCACTGTTCTTTTTCTTTATTTTTACATTAAACCCTGGGATTTCTTATTTATTTTTTTTATTTTCTAATTGCATCCCGGCTATCGTAGTCCTAACGAAACCGCAGGCCTAACAATATATATAAGATAACACAAGTGGTTACTGAGTGTGAAAGAAACTGAGAAAGTTATTGAGTAGAAAGGACAATAAAAGAACAGACTTCAAAAAGACAAATGAAAATTGATGCTGCATTTGAATTTTTAAACATCATAGTTGACATAAAAGCAAGAAGCCAGAAAAGAGTTCTACAGGCAAGAAGTGCAAGTGATGAAATTATTAGAACAGAACTTATTGTTGAATCTAACAATTTCAATAGTAAAATGTTGAGACCTAGCTGCCAATCTAGCACTACACTTAAGTTGGTGAAGTTGAGGTATTACAGAGGAAGGCTCATCAGCACAATCACCATGAAAAGGCTATGAGAAAGTGATTGATGCTGAGATGCCATGTCAGAACTGATAACATCAGTTTCTACTTTGGATTCTGTCAAGAATCTATAGACACATATATGACCACCAAAGCTAAGCAATGTCAGTACCTGGTCAGTACCTAGATGGGTGACTTGGTAAGCTTGGATGTGTGGGTGGTGTAATGGATAATTGCTCAGAATTGTTAATTGGAGAGTTGAGTTCCAATTCCTGTTTGTTCCATTATATTTACTTATGCAAAATTAGCCTTGGGAAACGTATGAATCTAGCAATTCTTCCTCAGCTATGGGTTGATTAGTAAGAGTTCTATTATTAAACAATTATTATCTTTAAGAAAAAATCTAAAAATATTTTCTGGCTTTAAATAACCTGCAAAGGGTTGATAAAACTGATCAATCCTCAAAATATAGATACAGAGCAGAAGCACCAGCCCAGATATGGCAGCAATATTCAATGTACAGAAGAATGTGCAAAATGTATTCTGACAAGCAAAAACTGCTTGACACGATGCAGTGAACCAATTTTCCAAGCAGCAGACTTAGCAAATGATCTGTAATTTAGCAATTTCATGCCAATTGTTCAGATAAGTTCTTCACTATGGTACGTAGACATTTTGAATTTAAATGCAGCACTAGACTGGCATCAAGATTCTCATCAATTTATTGTTGATCTGGTTAGATGTAGCCATAAGATCTATGCTAACAGCTTCTTTTCTCACACTTCTTGTTTGTGGAACTCCCCTCCAGCTCCATGCTTTCCAACCAACTTTACTCTGCAAAAATTTAAATGCAATGTCAATCAATATCTACAGTTCTCCTGATTACAGTTTCCTCTTCCTGCTCATTATTGTTTCTGTTCCTAATTCTTCCACACCCAATAACTCCTTGTGTCTTAGTGTCTTGCATGGGGTGATACTGATAATATATATATATATATATATATATATATATATATATATATATAAAACAAATGTTTGGAGGTACAAAATTTATAAATAGTTTTAAAAACTAGGAAACCATTGATTTTAATATTAAAAGTCTCTAGAGCCCTTTCAGCCAACATCTCATCAGGAGACAATCGTTGGATTAGCGAAATGAATAATAGCGATATTGAAGAGCAAAAAAAGAGGGGGAAACACACTAAAATAACGAACAAGTATATATACTTGTAACGAGGGAAGGGTTATCGTGTAAATAAATAGGGTTATCGTGTAAATAAATAGCGATTGTCTCCTGATGAGATGTTGGCTGAAAGGGCTCTAGAGACTTTTAATATTAAAATCAATGGTTTCCTAGTTTTTTAAAATATATATATATATATATATATATATATATTGTTGTGTAGGAAACCTACCACCCCTCTTGAAGATGAACTTGTCTACAAACAAAGACGTTAAATAGTGGCATGTCAAAAGACAGAAGAGAGTCGGAGAAGTTCTTGGCTGAGAAGGTTATAGACTACTCAGGAGATTTCTGTACCTACTTACCAACCTAATAAACCCCTTTTTATTGTTATGTGTTATTTGGCGTTTTGTCTTTACTAACCCCAAATCAACAATCATAACATATATAAATATATATATATATATATATATATATATATATATATATATATATATATATTTTTCTAAATCATATCATTTGAAAACATTAGACTGAGAAGGTACAATAAGTTACTCTCCTGGAGGTTAGCATCAGCCATGAGGCTAAAAACAATGATTGTCTAAGATGATTAAAAGAGAGCAGTTTAGTTTTGAAAGTGTTAAAATTAACACGCTATTTTTTGGCCCCAGTAAACTACAGATTGGAAATCATTTTCACGGTCAGCTGCCAATTTGACTTTATCAAACCTAACACATTTAACATTAACCACTAATATTCTGGAGGTGATTTTGTCTGCAAAGCAAAAATTTTAGCAGTGATTTTAGAAGTGAGTCAAATGAATGAATAATAGTGTGTTTGACTTGCGCAGTTGTGTTGTCATATCCTGCTATGGTAACAGAAAATGACCATGACAGAAATTAAGTAGTGCAGTAAAGACAGGAATATAACAGTTCACAGAAATAAGAAAAATACTAACCTGAGATCCTGTAAGGATGATCGGTTTGCCAAGGTTATGACATATAAATGCCAGTGCTGAAGCTGTGTAGGCCATTGTGTCAGTACCATGAAGTACAACAAAGCCATCAAACTGGTCATATTCTTTCTGTTTTAAATGCAAAACAAGAAACAGCAATGCTTAAACATTATGTCTGCAAAAAAAAAATCAAAAACGGTGTGTCAAAAGGACAGTTATTCCCTTGACACCTCTATTACTGTATACGTTTTTGACTCCCTCAGCAATGTTAATTTACAAGATTATAAAAATATGTGAACCAAGTACAATGTGATATTTATTATTTACCTTTATAATGATTTTTTTTTTTTTATATGCCATGTCCCTTCAGGAAGTAGGCAATCATGGCCCTCCACATCTTCTTGTCCCTTGTAGCTCCTAATAAGTTTTGTCTTTTTGTTATTTCTCCCAAACCCTGTTCTACCATTTATTATTTACCATTTTATAAATAACTATGGAAACAAGCTTTTTTATTCAGTCGTGTTTAACATCTTTATTGTCATTTCTCAAGAATAAAAAAAGGTATCAATCAATTTACATGTTTGGGTTTTATTAAAATTCTAATAATTGCTTTTTAAAAACAATAAATATTGCCGAGTGGGTCAAAAATGTATACAGTAATAGCAGTGTCAAGGGAATAATCATCCTTTTGACACACCATTTTTTGTGGGCACAAAGGTCAAACATTGCCCAAAAAACAACATTAATAATAAGGTGAGACATAAATACATAGAAATTAGAATTCAATTCACTATCAAAATATAGCCTATATTTTTATTCTTTTTCCTGCATTTTCATAGTGAATTGGGATTCTGAATGTGTTTAACAAGTGATTTAGAATTATCTAAAAACATTAATCTTATTTAATAAAAAAAAATCTTTTTTTCTCAAAAAAATTCACAAATTTTGGGAGGCTTTCTTCTGAAGAGTATCAAATTACAGTTGAGGTCTGAACCAATTTTACAAGGGAAATAGAAATGAGGAACTCTTTTGCTGGCAAATAAGATTTTATTTTTAAGCAAAAATTACGGTTGAGGTCTGGACCAATTTTAAAAGGAGAATAGGAATTAGGAAATCTTTAGCTGGCAAATAAGATTTTATTGCTAAACAAAAAATAACTTTAGATAACCACAAATAAATGCATCAGTGTGAATAAGATTTCTAAAGTGTAAACTTAAACAAATTTTTATCAAGTTATTCCTGTTGTCTTTTGCACAACTTATTCCACCTATAGATGGACAGGAATAGAAATTCTAGAGGCTGCTTAGAAATATTTTTAGATGAACAATGTGGTAAACAATTCATTGTAGAAATATTGGACATTTTCAAGTAATTTTATAATTTTATTTCTAATGATATTCATATATTAACAAAAAGAACATTGTATGTATTCCAAAATGGAGAAAGGACAGGAAATTGTGGAGAGCCATGATCGTCTACATACTGAAGGGACACAGCACATAAAAGAAATTTACTTCTTATGATATTTATATATTAACAAAAAGAACATTGTATGTATTCCAAAATGGAGAAAGGACAGGAAATTGTGGAGAGCCATGATCGTCTACATACTGAAGGGACACAGCACATAAAAGAAATTTACTTCTTATGATATTTATATATTAACAAAAAGAACATTGTATGTATTCCAAAATGGAGAAAGGACAGGAAATTGTGGTGAGCCATGATCGTCTATGTAGTGAAGGGACACAGAACATAAAAGAACTTTACTTCTTATGATATTTATATATTAACAAAAAGAACATTTTTTATATGGGTTCAATGGGCATATTTTTGGCCGAGCCCACGGGCTAGGAGATCCCATGTTAAACCGGCCTTGTGCCACATGACGTCTTCATGGGGGGGGTGACTGAATATTGTCAGTAGTTCAAGTCGAGTCAGTAGTTCAAGTCAAGTCAAGAGTCGCGTCAGAGGCAGTCCAAAACAGAGTCGCATTCAGACAATTACTGCAAGACATTGGAATAGTGATACTGGTCGAGACTACATTGTTCTCTCTACTAAACCTGATTGTTCACACTAACATTTTCTACTTCTCTGTATATATTCCTGTTTGTAATATATTTGTGTTATTCCATACCTGTGTTCGAGTTCTTCTTTATTTGTTCTACCTTGGACTATCACTGTGGTACAAAGAACCAGACTATAACAATATTGTTGATAAGTTACAAATGAAGCCAGGACAGAAATTATGCACTAATTGTTTTCAGAGATTTCATAAAGAGAATAGTCCAGAAAATCTGATTAAGCCAGATGAAGAATACTATAACACCACAGGACAATTTTAAACAATATTGTATGTTTGCTTTTCATCCATTCTGAATTATTGATAAGACAGATATGACTTCATATTGGAGGCAAATTTGCTAGGAGATTCAGAAAAAAAACTTGCTGGTTTTGTAACATCTGCTTGTGATTAGAATGAAGTAGACTTAACCTCAGATAAAAATGGAGGTTGTATGAAGTGCGCAAATCTAAACAGACTTATTGATACAGTGAAAGAAAAGACAATGAAAAGTCAACTGTCAGGTGTTGAAGTTGATAATTTTATTTTTCTTGTCATAAACAATGTATCAAGTAGTTAGTCTGAGTTGCAGTAAAAGACTGAGTTGAAGTAGTTAAAGTAGTAAATCAGAAGACTTCCATAGTCTCGTCTAATTCCTGTTGTATGAAAAACTGTCTTCATAAGAAACTGGACAAGAAAAAAAAAGTAACAGCTTTTGTAAAACATGTTAACAATTCTGGAATATAAAAAATTTAATTTTACATGTTATCTGCTTTCTCCTTTTCCTTTCCATTTCCTTTGTGAACAAGTTAAATATTTTCACAAAACCAAATTTTCACACCCTCAAAATTCCACAAATTTATTAAAAGCAAATTAAAACATTGATACTTAAATGGATCAAAAATGTTTCAATCATTGAGCAATCAAAATAAAACTTTTTGCCACACATACCATGCATAAGCCGATTTTGTGTATAGTGAAATTGTTAAACAACAGTTTAGCAAACTATTATTTTTAGGGGGAAGTATAGCTCAATTTCGACTTCCAGAGGTTGACTTTCAGGGTCAGACACAAGCCATAATATTGGAAGTTGATTTTGATTGGCTGAGCCAGCGTGGGAAAGGAGATAGAAGAAAGGTTTCAGGGAGTCTTAACCGTCAAACAATGTAGATTGGTTTTCCTTTGTATCTGAAATGGCACCCCATTGAGGGGGAATGACCCCCCACTGGATAGATAGAACATGTTGACATGAATAAATCAATTAGGTTTAAAATTCCCTGTGTGGAAGTTCTTTAATCTCTGGACTCAAAACAATTAGTGATCACCCACCACAAGAGAAGAATGCAACTTAATTATCGAATTGATGCCATCACACAAGACCTCCCAGCATGAGGGGGCTATACAATACAACCCCTGAATTTTTTTACATGAATGATGCTCTACCACCAGAAAAATTAACCTCTGTATAGTGCAACTGATCAGTGAAAATGCATGATTTTTTAAACTCTTCAAAAAAAAATTACTGACTATAGTGTGACCACTGTTTCTTTTTTTTGTGGGGGAGGGGGGAGAAAAAAAAAAGAAACAGATCATGGAAATTTGCACTATATTTGAGTATACATGGTAAATTAAAAATAGAAAGCTTGGGTTGGTGTGACATTAAGAATCACATTCATCACCTGATAATGTCAAAGTCACATAATAAAAAGAAAGAATTCAAATCATACAACCTTTATAATGAAAAAAGGTCATGCTAGCCACTTGTAGAAGAATGCTTCATACTGTCAAGACCATGAAACATTAAGAATATGTATCTGAATGCCAGGTATAAATGAATATGAAAAACTTTAATGAAAATCATTGAACTCTATCTTTCACTTGTCTCTATACAACACATACAAGATAGCAATTACTGGTTAAATATTCCTGACTGAGTATTGTCACCTTAAAGTACAAATATAAACAAAAGAAATTTGGTTGGTTACTTTGATAAGAGATTAAAACTTGCTGAGTTACTTAATGTTGACTATAAATCTTATATGACAAAGGTCAAAATGAATTAATAGATATGAAGATATTGGTAAATTTTACACTAGAGTCAAAAAGGTAAACATATGTCTGGTTTGCACATGAGTGCAAAAAGGTCCATTTTGCACCTGAGTCCAAAAAGATACATACAAATCCATTTTACACTGGAGTGACAAAAGGTAGTCACCGGTCCATTTTTTTGCTAGAGTGGTAAAAAGCAACCACAGATCGAGTTTGGCTAGATGTTACTGTAAATTTTATGATAACAGTTTCTTATTTACATTATTCAGACTATTGTCCTCATCTTTGTTGCCATATTTATTACGTTTCAGCCGTTGTATGCTCCGACCTTCTTCAGGTGGTTGGAATGTCGAACTGAACCCTTTATTTTGCTCACTCTGGTAGACTGTTCTAGTTCCACGTGCCCTGTTTAATGGATGTCAGTTATCAGTTATCTCCTGTTAATTTCCCTCTGAAAGTTCTCCACTGTCTTAGCCAGGTATTGAACTCATACTCTTTGGGTCCATGTGGCACAGTGAATAAAGGCGTTAGTTAGATCCAGTGACAGGACCCAAAGAGTGTGAGTTCAATACCCGGCTAAGACAGTGGAGAACTTCCAGGGGGAAATTAACTGATAACTGACATTCATTAAACATGGCACGTGGAACTAGAACAGTCTACCCCAGTGAGCGAAATAAAGGGTTCAGTTTGACATTCCAACCACCTGAAGAAGGCGGAGCGTACAACGGCTGAAACATTGTAATAAATATGGCGACAAAGATGAGGACAATAGTCTGAATAATGTAAATAATGTACATAATACCTCATCTCAGAAATATAGACAGATACTGAAAGGCCGAAACGTTGTAATAAATATGGCGTCAAAGATGAGGACAATAGTCTGAATAATGTAAATAATGTACATAATACCTCATCTCAGAAATATAGACAGATACTAACAGTTTCTTCTCTCGCACTTCTCACTTGTGGAATTCTCTTCTGGACACTTGCTTTCCAGTCAACTTTGATCTTCAAAATTTAAATACAATCTGAATTTTAAACATCATAAATTAAAAGTATTTTTTTACCTCTATGCAAGAATGGTAACTTATCCAATTTTTTGCATAGCAGTAAAAAATTATTTTGAATTTACGGTGTTAACACATAACACATCCATAGATATGCAACCACTGAAGATGGCCTCAGATGAGATTGAAAGTACTTGGGAAAATAAAAATTATTTGAAAGAAAATTTTGGAATTTTTCTTAATCAATTTTCTACAGCCACCAAGAAATTAATTCATGGACTTAAAAGGATTAAAACTAAAATAAATTGACATCCAAATTATTTAACCAAACATGCTTGAATATATATATATATATATATATATATATATATGCATGCATGAATCAGATGGCTCATATAGGATAGGTGAGGCAGCAGCAGTTAAAGCAGCTGTAGGTGTGGCTAGGACAGGCTGATTTTGAATTTAGAGTTGTTCTAAACCGTCAATAAGATACTTCACTTAAATTTATAAAGTCTAGAGGAAAATTCATCAGAACAATTACCATGTAAATATTTATAGAAATGGCACAGGGAAGCTACATTACAGTGGTGAGAATGTGACTGAATCTGAGATGCCAGGTCTGGACCAATAACATTGCAGATTCTTCTTTATATTTTACCAAGTATCTCTAAATATATAGCAGGATCACTAGACCAGATGTGAGAGCAATATTCAAAGCAAGGACAAATGGTAGAATTAGAAATATCTAAGATAGATTCTGTCGAGCAAAATTATCTAGCACATCACAGTGAACCAAGTTTCCTAGCAGCAGACCTAGCAATTGATTCAATATAATCTTTCCACTTGTCAGTGGAAAAAAAATTAGTCTAAAAAAGCACAATGAGCCACTCACCTGGATGTTATCATTAGCCATACTGATGGAAGGTAAAGAGAATTCTGTCAAATGATTAAAAGAGAGCAGTTTCATTTTGGAGGTGTTAAAATTAACAAGTCATTCCTTGCACTAGTTAACAACAGAATGTAGATCATTTTTTAGATCAACTGCCAATTTGACCTTATTGAACTGCTCAGACTTACTAATAAACAAGCGAGAAGTGTGAAAGAAAAAACTGTTAGCATAAAACTTATATTTACATCTAGTCATTTCAACTGTAAAAGGATAAGACCTTGCCACCAATCTTATTACTACATTTAAATTTATAATGTCTAGGTATCTTAGAGGAAAGTTCATCAGAACAATTTCCATGAAAGTATTTATAGAAAAGGTACAGGGAAGCTTCATTATAGTGGCGAGAAAGTGACTGAAGCTGAGATGCCAGGTCAGAGCCAATAACATTGCTGATTCTTTTGAATTCATTAAGAATGTCTAAATATATAGCAGAAACACCAGTCTATATGTGTCTTGTACAACACAGTGAACCAAGTTTCCTAGTAGCAGACCTAGCAATTAATTCAATATAATCTTTCCACTTCATTTTAGCAGAAAACGTTAGCCTATCCCAAGAAGGCACAATGAGTCACTTTTATATTAAATTTACTGCATAGATCTCTTTGTAAGAGCAATTGTAATTTTTAATGTCCTCATATTCTCTTCACACACAAATGTAGAAACACTAACTTGTTGGTTTGCTGTGGTACTAAAATGCTGTATAAGCTTTCTCCCTTATCAACATAGAAATCCTGTTTTTGTTCCACACCTGCACAAACTACTAGCAAATCAATGAGTCACACAGATTGAGGGAAAACTCAACCATATATAATTTATATATATTCTGTGAAATATCCTGCACATTAATAGTGAAAATATTTCTGTGACTCTCTTAATTAGGGTTTTTTTTTTAATTATTGTTTTTTTAATAAGTTTCATTCATGTTCTAATGAATGCACAGCACATTGTCAACCATTTTGCATTTAAAAGCATAATGAAAAAAATCACAGTAATGGATAACAATGCACATCTTTATATAAATACTTATACTAATGAACAACAGTTTTGTACCACTTGCAACCCTGAAGATGATCTTGGAAGATGATCGAAAGAACTTGGGAAATGAAAATAAAAGAAATTTAAACAGCTATAGCACATTTCTCTCACCCTTTAACATCAATACACAGAAGGTTATTAATGAGTATGAACGGATCTTATTAAAAATTAGCAGACATAATGTCTGTAATTTACTCATTCAGACATTATATATATATATATATATATATATATTTGTTGATAAAAAAAAATCCGTGAAAAGCTTTACACACTTAAACTGCATTGTTCAGTCAATGGGACCACTCAAAAAAAAGAAAAAAGCAGAAAAAAAAACTTTTGGGTAGATGCACATATTACATCTGCCTTTTCAACTCTTGTGGAAACTGGAGATATCCCAGCCCTTTCAACTCAAATGAACACCAGACATATCCCAGCCCTTTCAACTCAAATGAACACCAGACATATCCCAGCCCTTTCAACTCAAATGAACACCAGACATATGCCAGCCCTTTCAACTCAAATGAACACCAGACATATGCCAGCCCTTTCAACTCAAATGAACACCAGACATATGCCAGCCCTTTCAACTCAAATGAACACCAGACATATGCCAGCCCTTTCAACTCAAATGAACACCAGACATATGCCAGCCCTTTCAACTCAAATGAACACCAGACATATGCCAGCCCTTTCAACTCAAATGAACACCAGACATATGCCAGCCCTTTCAACTCAAATGAACACCAGACATATCCCAGCCCTTTCAGCTCAAGTGCAAACAGGACCTATATCTACCTATCTATTAATTCATTGTGATTTTTACCCTGTTCTTTTTCCACCTCTTATTGTTATTGAGAATTTTGTCATTTCTGGTTAACCATACCCACTTCTTCAATACATTATCTATTCAACAGGGAAATAAAACAAAAAGAAAGGAAAAGTGAAAGTGTAGTTGGGGTGGTGAAGAAGTGAAACTCTTATAGATCTCTGTGGTTTTTTTTCTTATCTATATTAACATTTCAGTTTGAAAAAAAAAGGTCAATTTTGATAAGCCAATGTAAGAGTTAAATTTCCCACTTACCAAAACAAAAATAACTGACCTTGACAGATCAAATATAAGAAACAAATAAACAAAAAAAATACTTACCTTGATATCTTTTGCTATTTGTATCCAATTGTTACAACACATGTTGCTCGAATCAATCAGTGGGTCATATTCAACAAATTTCACTTGAATACGTCTTCCGTTTTCCATGGGGCTGTGGGTGAAAAAAATGATGTATGAAGACAAATTTCTCAATATTTACATAAGCCCAAAATATATATCAAAACAAAAAGAATTTGAAACATTTTTATTAAAAGGCATATAGAATTTGAAAAAAATTCCTGTTAAAGGAAAAAGGCAACAATTTTTATAATAAATCTAGTTAATAGAACATGTGGAAACTACCTAAAAATTTAAAGTCTCAAGCTTTGTTTTGATATCAAAATTAACCATTTCAAATTTGACAATTGTTTTTGCATGAAACCAATTTGAAAACACGATTAAGAGGCATTGTGAGAGTGAAAGGGGGAAAACTCATATCGAGTTATACTTATTATAAAACCCAGGTTGTTTGTGTGTGTGTTCGTTTATATATGGGATTGAATTTCCTACATTTTTTAACCGATTTCAATAAAACTTCACTTTTTTTTTGACAGTTAGTGTTTCTTATTGTCTTGCACACTTTTTCTTTATTTTTAAATACAGAATGCTTTAAAAATTTCATTTACAAGACAATTGTTTATAATAAAATTTCTATTCAATCGGTAGACTCATAACGATTGAAAACAATGTTTTTGTTTGAGTTTGGATTTGACCAATTCGTTAAAAAAAAAAAAAAAAAAACAAAAAAAACTAATTAAGACATGCGTGTCCGTCAACCTTAAACAATAATCTTTGTCAATTTTATTTTCCAGTCTTTATGATCGTCCATACTTGATCTATCTCTTACTGTTATATCCCCGGGCAACGCCGGGCTCTACTGCTAGTAGGTAATACAACTGGCTTATAGTGAATAATTACATATATAGATCAATACATGCACAAGTTGCAGAATAAAGGAATGCATCAACAATAATGATCCTTAAATGGGCAGTAAAACATTGCATGAATATGTATGCCAAATAGGTTAAAAAAAAAAAAAAAAAAAAAAAAAAAAAAAAAAAAAAGAAAGAAAGAAAATTAATTTTTTAATGAGTAGCTTTTTATGTTTATTTTCAATTTAACTATATAAAAAACTGTAAAAATGACATTTTAACTGTTTTAGGTTAAACAAACAAAGAAATGGGAAATAAATGTTAGGTTCCTAAATCTTTTAAGAGTATGATACTCTTTGAAGCATTCCACAAATAATGGAGTTATGCATTCCTTACACCAAGTTGTCACCATTTTCTCTTTGAGAAGTACACTTGTAGAGACAACTCCATTTTAGCTTGTTTATCTTTCAGATTTGTTTCCAGGAAAATATTGAAGGAAATGATGTAAATTCATGAATCCTTGTAAATTTTGCAACATCAATCATCATCATCTTTCTTTCTGAATGCTGTTCTTTTATTGTTTAAACTGCCACCTTCTTTTTCTCATATATCTAAATAATATTTATAAACCATAATTTTGGAAAGTGAAAATATTTTAATGTTTATTTCGTTTTAATTATATAACAAACATTTTAACTATTTTAGGTTAAACAAACAAAGAAATGGGAAATAAATGTTAGGTTCTTAAATTTAATATATTTAAAAAGTAAGACGCCTTGAAGCACTACATGCACAATGGAGTTGTTCATTCTTTGTAACAAGCTGTCACCATTTTTCACCTCTTTTCACTTTAAGAAGTATGCATGTAGATATAACACAATCTTTGGTTTGTTCTTCCACATTTATTTCCAGGAAAATACTGACAGAAATTATCTAACTTCATGAATCCTAGTAAATTTTGCATCATCAATTGTTATCTTCTGCCTTTTTGAATCCTGTTGTCCTTTCTTTGTTGATAATGTTTTTGTTTTTTTTTTCAGTTTCTTTCACATTCATTAATCCCTTGTGGCTTAATAGTTAAAATACAAAAAACAATGAAAATTATATTTTCACTCTTTTAGGTTACAAAAATTGTTGTAATGGAATGTCCCACACTCCCTATTGCCTATGTAGACTGACTATACTATATTATACTATACTATACTATTACTATATATATATAGTAAGCACAAGATATACCTGGTGGACATGCTTCAGCAATTAGTTGGAGATTCATCTCCAGCTGTACTGGTCAAACTCTCTGCCCCAGACGAGGCTATGCTGAAAGGCAGAGTCTCATCTGGGGTGGTAGACAGCTACCTGACCCCATGTACACAGGGTCTACAGGGAATTTTTGCCCGAGGTTACAGGCTTGATTTTGCTCCACATTAAAAAACGGCCTTGTGTCACATCCTGCTTCGTGGGGAGGTAAGGCAAATAACCTTGCTTCAGGAATTACTAGCCTGCTAACCAATTCCCTGTCTTTCAGCAGTGTATTCTCTTTTACAATAAATCTCTCCTTCTTTCATCTATGCCTGTGTTGCTGTTCCTTTCACTTGAGTACCACCTTTGTCTGTTTGTAATTTCTTTAAGGATACAATAAAAATAAAGAAAAAACTGGTAAAAAAAAAGAAATGTTAGGTTCCTAAATCTTTTAACTGCATGATCCTCCTTAAAGAATTCCATGCACAATGGAGTTTTGCATTCTTTGCACCAAGTTGTCACCATTCTTCACCTTTTTTTCTCTTTGTAGACATAGCAGCATCTTTGGCTTATTTGTCTTTCAGATTTATTTCCAGGAAGATATTGAAAGAAAAGATGTAATTTCATGAATCCTAGTAAATTCTACAACATCAATCATCATCTTCTTTCTTTCTGAATCCTGTTCTTTTATTGTCTCTTTAAACTGCCATCTTCTTTATCCTATATTACTAAACACTAAATATAAATCATAATTTTGGAAAGGGAAAATTTCATAGAAATATATTGGAAATTTTCCAAATTTCCATCTGAAATCAAGAAAATATGAACTTTAAGCAAAATGATTAAAATGATTCAACCCTTACATGGTAGAAAAAAATTGTGCAAACATCCATTCAAATGTTTAAAAAACAAGAAAGTTCTGTAAAAAAATAAGGCAAGCGTACATTGAGGCTGAGGAAAACACTTAACAGGTAATAACAATTAAGAAGAAAGAAACAGAGAAGGTAGAGAAAGCGGGAAGAAATAAAAAAAATGAATAATGATGAGTGAGACTACTGCATCAAAGACCACAGCACAGCAGGTGGTACATAACATGCGCCAAGGGAACATCTTTACAAGACATTGGATCTCCAACAATAGCAAAGCGAGTCTCACCAAAAGCAGACTACCAACTTCTGGTTTTCCCATCACTTTTATTGACATGTGATGGTTGACAAAATCCCAGATTTGGGCAAATTGCAGAGAGGCCTGTATCTGGATATGCCAAGCCGTACTGATGCTAATGGAAAAACCTGGATGTGACTGTCTTCAGCAGACATGAATGCACATGACTTGGGGCCTCTTTTGTGCCTGAAGGTAGTTTTTATTCTTATCTTTGCTTTGATTACATATAAAAGCAATGAAAATTAAATTTTAACACATTCAGATTATGAAAAAAAAAAAGAAAATAAAACAAACATTAGGTTCAATGTTATCAATTAAAGTATTCCATGCAGAACACCAAGTTGTCACTATTTTTCACTTCTTTTCTCTTCAAGAAGTACACATGTAGACATAGTACTATTTTTAGTTTGTTCTTCCATTTTTTTTTCTAGGCAAATACTCTAGGAATTAATGTAACCTCATGAACCCTAGAGTTGTGAAATAGTCATTTAGACTTAAATCATGAATAAATGATGCCCATACCATTTAAGAAAAAAAGTTTAAATCCTCAATTGATATCTGTTAATCTCCATTGAACAATCAAGTGATGAGGCTTACCATTTAAGAGTTAATACACTGTATATCTTGCTTGGTAATTAACAAAAGTTTTTACTTTAGTATGCATATAACCACACAATGAATACAATTCTGCAATAAACTATTGAAACTTGAAGGATGAATTTACTCTATTACCTGTACTAATTGCCACAAAGAATACATTGGAGAAACCTCAAGGAATTTAAATGAAAGATTATATGAACCTAAGAGATCTTTTAAAAAACAACACATTCAATCCATTCCTTGTGTAACAGAGAGAACGTATGGACAACACCCGCTTACTGGATCTAAAAACTAACACAACGTGGGCAGCAGGCGAAACTTAGCCAGTGACCAGTAGAACAATCTACAGGTACTCAGGGAGCATGCGGCCAGCTACCCCTGAGTTCGGTTCAGACCGAGTGGGCTCCTCAACCCAAAGAGGAAGACGCCGGAGGTTGAGGGGCTGAAAGGACGAGTGGTAGACTTGCTCACCATCTTACCATAAATTTTGATTTAAATAAAGCTACTTTAATTAAAAGGGAGAGCAATTTCCTAAGACAAAAGTATATAGAAAGTGCTTTAATCACTAGATCATCCACAGTATATTAGCACCCTGGTTCTTATAACATTTCACTTTTCTTGACAGATCTATTATCACAAATTGGGGTACTTAATAAAAAAAGTGATAAAAACAACCTAAATAAAATTGGCTTGACTATATATCAAAAAACATATTAAGAAAAAAATTTATTTTAAAAGTTTAATATTTCAACTTCTCCTCTCCTTCATGCGTATGTGCAATTATATCAACATAAACATCATTTTAGTCTGATGGGGTCTTAAAGGACGAAATGTGTTACACAAAAATTTTTCTACTCTGTCAATAATCTTCCTAACACACATATATATAAAATATAATATATAATATGAAAGATGAAGAAAATGCTAACAAACAAACAAGAGGTAAATAGGGGTCTAAATATCAACATATAAAAATTTTCCATACCACTTACTTGTTTATCTAATATTGTTTACCTAAAAGTATGTTTTCTGAGTTACATTCCACTAGCAAAGTCATACATACACATACAGACACACACACATGTGTGAGTGTATATCAGATAAAAGTTATTTTCAAACAAAAAATAACATATCTCTTATTGACTTATATCCTACCTACTTTTGGCATTTAACAACATGTCACTGTTGTTTATCAAACCTTGAAGAATGATAGACAAAAAAATGAAATTCTGAC